TTACAATACTTCATGACAGTGCCGTGAGTAGCTCCTGTGCCACAGTGCTTTCTGGCATCCCAGTTACTGACTAGGGGATAGGATTGCCATTTGCAAAAGATACGGACACCTTTATGATTTGTGACATGTTTGGTTTCTAAAATAACTATTTCTATTTGTAGTTGGCCTACTATGCTACAAGACCATACTAGATGAACATAGACATACGTAGATGAACATGATTCCTTTCTTCTTGCATTAACCCCTTCACTTAACAAGTTTTTCAGTTACTTCTATAAGCCAGGCCCTGTGGAGATTCTGGGGATCTACTTATAAATAAAACCTAGGACTTCCCTTTTTATGGGTGAGACAGACAGTTTGTAGGCGCAGACTTGTTAAATGGCTGAAGTGCCTTGAAGAAATCTTGAACAGGTAAAGGACACAGGTGCACATACACACACAGGATTTTTTTTTTTTTTTTTTTGCCAGTCCTGGGGCTTGAACTCAGGCCTGGTCCTTGTCCTGAGCTCCTTTTGCTCAAGGCTAGCACTCTACCACTTGAGCCACAGTGCCACATCCAGCTTTTTCTTTTATGTGGTACTGAGGCACGCACTAGGCAAACATTCTACCACTAAGCCACATTCCCAGTCCAGGATATTGTTTTTTCATAGCTTTCTCTGTTTCTTCTTTGCCCTATATAATGGAAGGAGTTCTCAAAATCTTGACTATTGGCCTATGGTCATTTCAGGACTGAAGTAGCAAATGCTTTGAGCCTGACTAAGTCTCTCAGGCTACTGATTGTGGGACCCTGTCACTCCTTATCATAATTTCATGTAGAAAAAGTCCAGAAAAAGGTCCCATTCAGAGTGATGGAAGACCAGGGTTGTATTACAACTTGATCATTAGCTGTTAGAGCATGGTCATGTGAACCTGCAGGCCCAGATACTGGCTGGGCTAAGGCAGGAGGATATCTTGAGTTCATGGCCAACCTAGGGTTTATGAGAAGTCTTCAAATATGTAATCCCTTAAAAAGGGAGAATAGAAAAAGTTGCTAAGAGCTTCTTAACTAAACCTAAGTCTGCAGTGTCTGTAAACCACAGGTGATCACATGACATCACCTGCGGGGGGGGGGGGGGGGGGGCAGTGCACTGCAGGGCATTGTGGTGACTCTTGGGCTTTCCTGTTAGTATTTAGGTGACCTGAACACCACACAGCATGCAATCTGGTGACAAACTCTCCTAGTTCTAGTACATCTCTCTTCCTTGTCTGCTGGACCAGAGGACAGCAGACCATGATGGAAAGCTGGGCTGTGCGGGGCTAGGGGTGAGGGGCAACCATGCAGAGGAGAAGCCCAGGACACTGGCCCCTGCTCTGAGCATTGCTGTTTTATTTCTACCCTTATGTAGCACAAATCATGCAGGATCCAGTTCATGGAAAGGAATACGACAAATCAGTTTACGCAGTAAGGCAGGACCCTGTGAAAGCACCATGTCCTTACTGTCCCCCACTGGAGCACCCTTGGCCTGTGTACAAGTACCCCTCTATGCTATCATATGTACCATGGATGTACCATCAGACACGGCTGTATGCTTTTCAACTTGATGTACTGTATGTAGCTTTAGGTTCTCATCTGTAGTGCACTGACAGTTGTTCAATGAGAACAACATCCATATGAATACCCAGTCCCTTCCTTGCAGGAAGGGACTACATATTTAGTAAGCACTGTTTTACTTGGTGCCTAGCAGGAGTGTTGTTGAGAAAGCATGGTGGATGTCAAGATGTGTGGGAAAGCCAGGGACTGGACCTGAAGATGAGTAACTTAAAAACAAGGCTAGCCTGCCAGGCTGGGAGAAATCCAGGGGTCTGGGTTCATTCCCCACTACCCCTCCATTTCATGCTAGCTCTAAAGTTGCTGCTAGAGGACTCTGCATGGCTCAAGGGGCTTTCTAGTTCTGTGGATTAATGGGGCTGACGAGAAACATTCCTGCACAGGAAAGGGATATATTGGGCAGGATTGGGAGAAATTGTCCGAGGTCCTTCATACATGTCCGCACTCCAGACTTTTCTGTTGGCCTCTGGGAAATGAGAATTTGCTGTGAGCACCTGCCACTTCTGTCCTGGGGCTAGCTGTTTTCCATCCCCTGACACAGGGCATCACTCCAGAGCAGGGAGTGTGTGAAAATCACCCAGTGAGAGCCTGAGAAGCCCTTGAGCCTGCAGAGTCAGCTAGTGGCACTAGATGGCAGTTCCTCCCTAGAGGCCCAGACGGGTGGGAAGTGTTAAGGACTTAGTAGTGGCCTAAAGGAACCTCTGTCTAGATGTGAAAGTAAACTTACGGTGTGTGTGTTGGGGGGAGGGGTACTTTTCTAAGAAATTAACATTTTTACTGGAAATCTAGAAATGGGACTGAAGAGGGTGTGGTTGGAAGGTGGGAAGGGCTGATCTCAGGGCAGACCTTGGGCTGGTTAATGGATTTGACAAGCTGGGCACTAGTTGCTCACGCCTGTAATTCTAGCTACCCAGGAGGCTGAGATCTGAAGATAGCAGTCGAAGCCAACCAGAGCAGGAAAGTCTGTGAGACTCATCTCCATTGAACTCAGAGAAAGCCTGAAGTAATGCTATGGCTCAAGTGATAGAGTACTTGAGCATAAGAAAGCTCAGGAACAGGGCGGGGCACCTGTGTCTCATGCCTGGAATCCTAGCTACTCAGGAGACTGAGATCTGAGGATCATGGTTCAAAGCCAGCCTGGGTAGGGAAGTCTGTGAGACTCTTATCTCCAGTAAACCACCAGAAAACTGGAAGTGATGCTGTGGCTCAAGTGGCAGAGTACTCGCCTTGAGTTGGAGAGCTGAGGGACAGCACCCAGACCCAGAGTTCAAGCCCCACAACCAAAAAAAAGAGCTCAGGAACAGCGTCCAGGCCCTGAGTTCAAGCCCCAGGCAAGACAAAAAAACAAAAACCTTTATCAGAGATGGGAATTTTTTTGTGCCTAATGCTATTTGGATATTTATACCATCATTCACAGGCCATACAAAATTGTCAGTATAGGCAGTTGGCCACTAGAAGCTTGCAAGACACATTACACGTCTGCCCTGTCTTGTACCACAGAGAGCTTATGAGCTGATGTTCCCTGTCCCCACCATGAAGGGGTAAAGTGATTGGAAAGGCACACTGGTGAACACATGCCTTTCTACAAGGAGCTTATTGGAATTCAGACTGTTAGCTAAGGCAGAGTTTGTGCAGGAATGGAGAGCCCAGCTGGCTTGGTCTCCAAGTATTGGAGACTTGGGGAATCTGAATGGTCTTCTGAGGTCTTTCTAGTGCTGTAATTTGGTGGGGCCAGGATTTTGTGTCGGCATCTTTTTGTGCCTAATTCCTTCTTATCCTGTTTTTAGTGGTGTCTCCCTGGCACATTGAGATGGGGGAGGAGTTAGGGGTGCACAGAAGGTCCCGATCAGCCAGTGGTGGTTGCTGTGGGCACAGGTCAGGAGAGGCAGCCTGTGCCAAAACCTGAGGTCCCCGTATGGCTGGGACTATATCTGGTAACTCTGCCTCACTGCTCCCACAGATGCATTGTAGGAGTGGAGTACAAAGAAAGCCCTTGAAAGCAGTTTCAGAGTCTTCTCTTGTGCCCAGCTGAAGCCCAGGGTGGGGCACGCTCTTCCCACAGCACTTGCTTGGGCTGGATCTAGGGGAGAGGTGTGCATGTTGTCAGCACTGTGTTGTCTTGTGACCACCAATTGCATCTCTCCATGGTCTGTCCTCCTGTTCTAGATGTTGTTTTTGAAATTAAATTCTTTGTGGTCAGAGTATTCTTGGAGCCCTGTGTGAAATGACCAAGCTTGCTGAGGCCACTTAACCAGCCACTGAGTTTGCAGCACACAGATCAGACGTGAATGAGGCTCCTTTTTGGTGTGGTGGTCCCTTATCTTCTCTGCTTTAGGCCTGTTCTTTACACCCCATCAGACATGGGGTGGTCTGATGACTTTGCAGACCAGGCCCTCCGGTCCAGTGGGGGGACGAGGGCCTCCCCCAACTTCCCAGTTTGCGTGCAGAACCGCAGGTCCTTGCACACCACTCATGGAAAGCACCACAGGGTTAAAGTTAGCGAGAGGTGGAAGACAGAGACTTTTCCTCTGAACTGGAGGAATACAGAGTCTAGAGACTCTTGAGCCTTAGTTTCTGGTTGGGGGGTGGGTCAAAAGGATGAGGTTTACCCAAAACACTGATAACTTTCAGATCCTCTTGCCCAAGGTGACAGTTCATTCATTCTTTGTCTCTACCTAGTCCAGAGGAATTGAGATTTTTTTTTTCTTTTAACCACCATTTCAAAGTATAAAGCCAGCCCTTCCTATGTTTGCTAATCTTATAAAGGAATCACAGCAGGAGTACGTTGGACGTTTATCTGCTTTTTATAATTTATGTCCTGGCTTTAACTTAAGTCTGGCCTTTTTGATAGTTGTGAAAAGTAACTTTCCTGTCTCCTGGCTCATCTTCCTGTCTGTGACCGGAGCCTTCGGCTCCTCAGCCGGGGAAAGAACCCCGGGGTTTCCCAGGCTGCCCGGAGTGGGCCTCGCTCTTTGGTCGGTGTCCCTTTTTGGGTCTGGGCCTTTGATCCGTGTGTGGCATGGGAGCTGCGGCCTGGGGGCGGCCGGAGGCCCCTGCAGGATTGGCTGTGGAGGACCGGCGTCGGGGTGAAAGGGCTCCTGGAGCTGGCTTTCCGGCCAGTCCTCGGTTAGGTCTCCGTAAGTGGGGCCCTTCCTTGAGAGCTGGGGGTGGCGTGGAGGCAGGCCGCCACTCCGGACGCCAGGTAGAGGCCAAAGGCGGGTCCCGTGTCCAGAGGCATCCCCGGGCCCCACCGTGCCCTGCGAGGCAGGCGAGGGCGAGGGCGAGGGCGAGGGCGGCGCAGTCCGCGGTGAGGCCGGCCCGCCCGCCTCTCCCCTGCTCCCCTCCGCGGTCCCTCCCCTTAAAGGGGCCCTCGGGCTCCTGGCCCTTGGCTGGAGCTCAGAGGGAGCCGCGGCTTTAACGCCGGGTGTGCCTCCTCCAGACCCGTCCCTCGCGTCCCGGAGGCCGCCTGAGGCCAGGGCTGGAGGAGGACGGCCACCGCTGGGAGCCCCAGTGAGACCCGCTGACCGGTGAGTCCCCGGAGCCACAGGTGACCCGCAGCCGCTGGGGGGGGAGATGCCCGCCCCGCCGGCCGGGAACACTGCTCCGACCCGCCGGGTGGGAGTGCCTTCTAGCACTTTCGGGGCTGCTGGTTGGCTCCTTCAACACAGGGAACCTTGGAACCCGAGGGACCTAAAGAACTTAACTTGACCAAGTTGGGGCCTTTTCCTGTCCCTCCGGCGGTCACGGGGCGGCTGCCTGAGCTCACTTCCTCCGCCTCCTCGTCCCCGCCGCGCCGCGCCGCGCTGCGTGCGGGGGTGGGGGGGGCGCCCGCCGGCGGGAAGCGTGCGGCTCCTCGGGCCTGAGGGCGAGGTAAGCGGGCTCTGGGAGCCCTGCCTCCTACCCCCGATCGGCCGGGCCGGGCAGCTGACCAGAGGTTCCTTCTCTCTGGGACATTGAGGAAGACCTGGCTTGTCTCTTTGTCCCGCTCCTTCCTCCTCACTTAGAAATCCCCCTCCTCTTCCTCTGCACTCCTCCTTTGCCCAATTCCTCACAGATGATCTGCCTGTTTTGACCCGGGAGGATCCATTTTCCTATCCTCTACTTGTGACAGTTTGTCCACTTCTAGTCCTGGACTGTGGGCCATGATGGGTCAGTCGCCCACCGGGCACAGCCGTCATGTGGATCGGCCCCAGGTGAGCTAGGGCAGGAGTGGCCCAGCCCTCCAGGGTGGGCAAGTGAGTGGGAATCAGGGATAGAGCTCCTCCGTCTTCACTGCCCCTCCAGCCCTTGGCTCCATCCCTGGAATGTGCCAGACTCTGAGTTCACTGAGTCCTGAGTCTTGCATCCACTCACGGCCAGGCCTGCCCACAGCCCCTCCATTCCTGGACTTCAGTTGGAATGTTCCATTCCACTGGGGGCAGGTATGGTTGCCTTCCGCCCAGGTACAGTGGGGTCCCTGAATAGCATTTCCTCCCCTGTCCCTTGGGTGGTTCATCAACCTTTGCTGCTTGTTTTCTCTCTGTCCTTCAGAGGGGCTGCCAATGCCCTCGTGTTCCCCTTTTCCGACCTCCCTGAGTATGTTTGCATTGTTGGACAGGAAGATGAGCTGGGGTGTGCTGGGGTGGAAGTAGGGTTTTGACGCTGAGGGCTTGTGCTCTAGCTTCAAGGGAAGTTGGCAGGACAACTTTCCTTTCCATTTCCTAGGTGAAGAAACAGGCCCAGAGAGCACCTATGACTTGCCAAGCCTTGACCAGTTATCTGGATGGGGGTGGTGAAGGGCACCAGGATTTCATTGATGTTGCCTACCACATGGCCTTCCGAGTTCACAGGATAGCATTAAGTCCAGCTGGTGGGTCTGATATTGACCTCTACAAGCCATCTTGACTCAGAAGGGCCGGGGGTGAGTGCTCCTTGCCTCAGCCAGTCCTCATCAGAGCCTGAGCTCGGGCAGACACTCTGACTTGCTAAGTGCAGTGGCTGTGGAGTGAGGGCAGTTTGGGGTTGGGGAAGGGAGAGGCTGGACGCACTGTTGGCTGGGAAGTCCCTCGCCTTGGGAGGGGAGAAGGCAGCCACTCGTAGGCCCCACAGACTGTGACAGACCATGCCATTTAGGGGGACAGAACATTTTTCTGCTCCCTGGAGACTTTACAGAGCCCACAGGTGGTGTTCTGAGGAGCAGTGCCACCCTGGTGTCAGTGTCTCAGTTTAGAAGGGCTAGAACAGTGATCAAGAATCCCTTGTCTGTCCCTGCCCTGTGGGGAGGTGGAGGTTGGTGCTCCAGACTATGGGGGAGTTCTGGGTCATTGCCAGAGCTCTTCCTCAGGCGCTTCCTCTGCTGTAGGGAGGAAGGAGAACCTGGTGGCCCTGCCCTGCTGAGGCGTGTAGGCAGGCCAGTTCCTTGGCCTTGTAGGCCTTAGGTTTTTCAGAAGGGCTCCCACCTGGAAAAGAGGCCTGGCAGCCCATGGTAGTGCCCAGGAGAATGAAGGACTAAGATGTCCACAGTAGTCTGAGCGCACGTAGATTCTGACCAGCCTAGATTTGTAGGCTTGTACCTTTTTGGCATTTTCAGAGTTGACATTTCCTAACCTAGCATCCCACTAGGTTACGGTAGTGAGGGAAACTTGGTGGGAGGCTGAGGTTCTCAGGATCCCCTCCTCTCCTGCCATCCCGCAAGGCCATGCTTCTGTCTCCAGGAGTTCTGGGTATGAGCCAGCAACTCATCCAGCCTAGGCTCCTTTGAACAGGGAAAGAGCCCCAGAGGAGCCAGGTCCCAGCTTACCATTCCCCACAGGCACTGTGCTTCTGTTTCCCTGGCGTGCTGGCGGGTGGATGTGAGGATGTGAGGAATGGTTGAGTCTCCATAAGAAAGTTAATGAGAGTGACCAGGGGCCTCCACAGGGCCCAGGCCTGGCCCTTGGATGGGTGGTGCTGTGTCTGTTGCGCTGGTGCTGCCTTGGTGAGAAAACTCCTGCAGCAGCAACTGCCCTGCTCATTCCCCAGAGAGCTGCCCTTGCCCTTAGGAGAGAGGCCTGGCAAAAGCTTGTTGGAGGGATCTGCTGCCCGGCTAGGCCTTGACATTTTCTCAGTCAGGACAGAGATCCATGTTCATGTCAAGACTCTAGTTACCTTGTCCTGGCTCCAGGTGGAGCCAGTGGTTCTGGCAGGCAGGTGTAGGCTGGACCCTCACCTCTGGCTGAGATAGGTTTGTGTCACGTGGGTGGAGGGAGGTCTCAGTCTGCTCGAGGCTCCTGCTCTATCAGTGTGTTGGCCACGCTAGCCTGGTCCTTGCCTGGGTCTCTTTTCTGTCCTGGGGACTACATTTCTTCATTCATAGGTGACAGACACCTGCTGCCTTCCAAGCCTGTGGTTGAGTCTGGAGGCCAGGTGGAGTGCAGCCGCTTCTCCTGGGGAGGGTGATTGCCCTGGGTGAGGATGGAACAGCTGGGGCGTGTTTGCTCTTCTTGCTATCTGTGTAGTGGGAGGTGTGGTCAGAGCTGGACAGAGAAGCTGGGAGGGGCCAGGCCAAAGTGCCTTTCTGGAGCAAAGATAGGAAGAGTTGTGCTGGACCCGGGCCCCCAGTCCCGGCCACTTCCCCACCCTCTAGGCTGGTTTTTCCCTGAGGGTACCCAGACACAGAGCTTGTGAGGCTGGGATTGGTCAGTCAGGAACTGGAGGCTCAGAGGCCTGGAGAAGAAGAGGCAGCCACACAGCATCCAGGATGCCTAGTCCACAGCACAAAGCCTTACCTTGCCCGGCTGCCCTCCCTCTCCTCTCATTCTTCAGATGCTAGTTTGTAACCTGAATCCAAAATGGGTCAGGTCCTCAGGAGGGAGGGGCCGCCTGCCTGGAGCCATGGAGCCCTGGAGCACCAGGCTCAGGTTCCCACCCCGTGCTCCCTGAGCCCAGCAGCACCCCACACAGAGGCCCTGGCAGTGCCTGGACCACCACTGCCCCACCATGGCCAGTTGGATCATGCACCCTAGGGTCTCTCCCACCTGCTGCCCACCCAGCTACCATGAGGGAAGGAGTGGGTGAGCCCAGGATGGTAGGCACTAGGCCAAGCCTAGGGGACAAAGCAGGTCAAGTCTAGGGGCCTGCTTTGTCTCTGAGTGGTCCCCAAGCAGGGCGCCTGAGAAGGTGACCGGTGCCTCTGTTTGCAATAGCGCTGACTCTAACCCACGCCCCGTGAACCTCCGAGAGAACCCGGAAGCGGCACCAGCAGCGCCCCTGGAGCCGTGACAGCGCAGGAGATCCTCCCGCAGGGGGAAGGGGAGGCAGGAGGAAAAACAAAGGAGAGCGAGGAGCGCGAGCGAGCCTTGCGCCGCCTCCCTGCGCCGCCTGCCCACGATGTGTCAGTCAGAGGCACGGCGAGGACCAGAGCTCCGAGCAGCAGCGAAATGGTGAGATGCTGCCCGCCTCGTCCTAACCCTGCCGTGCCCCGCCACGACCTCAGGAAGGTCAGAGTTCATGTCCAGAGGCCCCGCAGTGGAGGCGGCAGTCGGGGGCCTGGGGGAGAGCCCCCGAGGCTGGAGGGGCCGGGCCAGGAGGGCCTGAGTAGGAGAGCCCGCTTCAGGTACCTGAGGTTGGGGGGCTAGGGGGCAGGTGCCGCGGGTGGGGGGGGCCTCGGTCCCTGCTCCCCCCACCCCACCCCACTGCCTCCTGCGCCTGCCTGGGAGCCGGGGAGAGAGCTGCTCCCTTCTCCCGCAGCCTTTCTGCAGTGAGTGGGGCTGGAGAAAGCCGTGATTTGTTTGTCTTGGCTCAAACCTGGTCGGAGGGGGAGGGGGAGGGGGAGGGGGCGAGAGACAAAAGGGAGGGAAGCCAGGCAGCTAGTGCGCCGCGCAGCACCTGCCTGGAGCAGAGTGACTTCTCGCCATCACTGCTGGACCCGGCCTTTGTTCCTTGGTTGGCTCAGCACCCCAGGAGGCAGGATCTGCCTGACAGCACAGTTGCACGGGGTGGTGTTGCAGATGAGGACCCGGAGGCATGGAGATATTCGAGAGGGTAGTGGCGTGGTCTCCTGTGCTTACACTGAGGTGGGGGGCCAGGCATGTGATGGGACTTTGCTGCAGTCAGGTGCCCGGGGTTCCCGGGGAAAGGCCTCTGTGCCTTGTGTGACACTGAGTTTGTAAAGCTGGTCGAGTGAGCTGAGGCCTGGAGGTGGGGGGTGGGCAGCCGAGTGGGAGGAGGGGGCTGAGCTGGGGAGGCTCCCCACAAACCTGGGGATGGGTTTTAAGGGGCCTGGTCTGCTCTAGAGACCATGAGGGTGGTCAGAGCTCCATTCTTAGGGGGATGGGGGCATCGTGTGCATGCGTGTGAGACACACTTCCTTCCAGCTATTGTCTTTAACAGATGAGGCGGTGAGGCCCGCAGCTGGGTGTCCTGTAGTGGACGCAGGGAAGGACTCACTGAGCCAACCTCTGTGCTGCACACTGTGCACTGGCCGCCGGCTCGCCTTCCCCAGGCCTGTGCGGGCAGGGCTGTCCCTGGCTCCGGTCTTGTGTGGGAAGCTGGGGCACAAAGCAAGCTCTCCACTCCGCCTTCCCCCTTCTGGGCCCTTGGTGAGCCACAGCTGTGCTCCCAAGTTGCTCCTTCTGAGAGATGCCCAGGAATTGGGTTTGACCCTCCTTCATCTGCTGCCCCCATTCTTAGCCAGCTGGCAGGGGGGAAGGACGGGACATGAGTCAGCCAGCTAGGTGGCCCAGCCCCTAACTCAGGATGGCGTGGGGACGGGGCACTGCCGTTCTGGGGACTTGCCCTCCATTCAGGCAGGTTGCGGAGGTAGGGCAGGAGTAGCAGAGGCCGAGGGAGTGTGCCTGGTCCCACCGAGACCCCAGCACTGACCCAGCCGTGCTGGACATGTGCCCGCAGGTTGCACTTTCCTCAGCTGGCCCTGCGGCGGAGGCTGGGCCAGCTGAGCTGCATGTCCAGACCCGCCTTGAAACTGCGCTCGTGGCCCCTGACCATCCTCTACTACCTCCTGCCCTTCGGCGCCCTCAGGCCACTCAGCCGGGTGGGATGGAGGCCCGTGAGCAGGGTAAGTGTGCGCATGCCCAGGTGTGCGGTGCCAGAGACTTAGAGCTGTGCCCGTGAGGGAGTGGGTGTGGGAAGGGTCGTTGGTTGAAAGGCCAGGGCCACTATTAAGGTCATGTTGCTCGGTGTCTGTGTGGGCTCTGTCCACCCTCCCCGGTGTCAGGGCAGTCAGGAAACCGTCTTCCATTCTATGTTCATGCGAGGAGAGTTTGGAGGTAATTTTGAGAAGAATCCAAATTCATTTGTGAAGCCATAGCATAGTGCAGGGAGGCGGGAGCCGAGGACACACTGCAGGACCTAGGGGATCACCAAGTGGCGGCCCCGGGCAGGAGCTGCAGGTGAGGCCCTGGGGTTGTGTTGCACTCAGCTCCAAGGAGGAAGCTGGCCTCTGGGCTGCTCAACAGCCAGCTGGGGCCATGGTGCACAAGGCACTGAGGCGCCTGGACGTGAGAGCAGCGTCCAGCCTGGACCCACGCAGGGCCTGCTGGCAGTTCCAAGTAGCCGGGTGGAGCCTCGGAGCCAGATTCAGTTCCTTGAAGAGATGCTGGAAGTTGATGAAATGACTTCACCCTTGGGGGAGTTGGTGCTTGGATATGTTCGGGTACACAGCAGGGCTGCAGTGGCACCTGAACTTTGGGCTCCCCTCCCCAAGTGCTCCAGGCTGGAGAGACAGCCAGAGCTCTGGACACCCCAAGTGCAGGCAGGTCCGTGGGCCGGCCAGCTGAGGCCCAGAAAGCCTCTCCACAAGGCCTGTGTGGGGCTGGGCCTCTGGTGCCGGCTAGCCCTTCAGGACCCCGTGACAGAATGAGGAGGATTGGTGTTACTTGCGGTTAAGAGGATACCGCGACCTCGAGGCCTGGCCACTTTCTCCAGTGCCCTGGGCCAAGGTGGCATGCCCACTGCCCCCACCAGCCAGCCTCCCTGTTTCTTTTTGAGAAGTGAGACGGGGCTAAGGGAGCAAGTTGTTCCTGGACCTAGTCATGAAGTGAGGAAATGCCTGACCTGTGTGCAGGCGCAGTCTGGTTCCTGTGAGAAAAGCCACATCACAAAGCCAGCCTGGGCCCCTCAGCTCCCCAGTGGCCTCCGGGGGTTCAGTGTCTCTTGGGGCAAGGGTGGGCTGGTGACAGAGGCCAGGTTCCATGGAGTTGGGGCAGTGGAGCCAACTCTTAGCCTCCTGCCCTGTGGCCTGTAGGTGGCCTTGTACAAGTCGGTGCCAACGCGACTGCTGTCACGGGCGTGGGGCCGCCTCAACCAGGTGGATCTGCCGCACTGGCTGCGCAGGCCTGTCTACAGCCTGTATATCTGGACCTTCGGGGTGAACATGAAGGAGGCTGCCGTGGAGGACCTGCATCACTACCGCAACCTCAGCGAGTTCTTCCGGCGCAAGCTGAAGCCGCAGGCCCGGCCTGTCTGCAGCCTGCACAGCGTGGTGAGGCCCACCCTCGACCCCCTTCCTCCTGCAGGAAATAGCAGTTCTTGCTGGGTTTGGGGAACTGGCTCCAGTAGTCCTTTAATGGGCCATTTGCGCCACAGCGCTCATGTTCCGTGTGGGGCGGGGGTGGGGCCGGGCAGGGCTGGAAGCCCCTCCCTGGCAGTAAGCCTCTGCTGCACCTGCAGATCAGCCCATCCGATGGGAAGATCCTCAACTTTGGACAGGTGAAGAACTGTGAGGTAGAGCAAGTCAAGGGGGTCACCTACTCTCTGGAGTCGTTCCTGGGCCCCCGCACCCACGCAGAGGACCTGCCCTTCCACCCAGGTGGGTTGCCGCACGGGCAGGCCCTGCACGGCTGACAGTCGTCCCGTTGCCGCCCCAGCCTGCCTTGCAGCTGAAGAGCCCAGCACTGTTCTCTGCCTCCCCTCCACATGCAGCCTCCTCGTGCGAATCCTTCCGAAACCAGTTGGTCACGCGCGAAGGGAACGAGCTGTACCATTGTGTCATCTACCTGGCCCCTGGGGACTACCACTGCTTCCACTCGCCCACTGACTGGACCGTCTCCCACCGCCGCCACTTCCCAGGTAGGCGGGGGCCGGCCCATGCCGCGCGGATAGCAGAGCCTGAGGGGCTGCTTTGCATCTGGGGTGACGGATGTTCCGGGCTGTAGGCAGGGCACACAAAGTGTGTTCTGTTCCCAGGCTCCCTGATGTCTGTGAACCCGGGCATGGCGCGTTGGATCAAAGAGCTCTTCTGCCACAACGAGCGTGTGGTGCTGACGGGGGGCTGGAAGCACGGCTTTTTCTCGCTCACCGCCGTGGGGGCCACCAATGTGGGCTCTATTCGCGTCTACTTTGACCGGGTAAGCACAGCCCGGAGCCCGGCACAGCCCTCAGGCTGGACCTCTTGGGTCCACCTGCTTCGTCTGCGGTGCAGCTGCCAGTGCTGGGCCTGCCCTCCGCTGTGTGGAGGCAGCTGGGAGGGATGGGGAACAAATTCCCATCATGCACCTGTGTCAGGAGCTGTGGTCCAAAGTGAGGACAGGAATTCAAGAGCTTGGGGTGGGTTGTGTAGAACCTGATGCTCACACTGCCTCGGGGTACCTTTTGGGGGCATCGGTCTATGCCCCCCCATGCTTGCCTTGTACCATTTATGCCTCTTGGGCCCATGCCCTCTGTCCTGTGTCCCTTGCTATCCAGGACCTGCACACGAACAGCCCGCGGTACAGCAAGGGCTCCTACAATGACTTCAGTTTCGTGACACATGCCAACAAGGAGGGCGTCCCCATGCGGAAGGGCGAGCACCTGGGCGAGTTCAACCTGGGCTCCACCATCGTGCTCATCTTTGAGGCGCCCAAGGACTTCAACTTCAGGCTGAAGGCGGGACAGAAGATCCGTTTTGGGGAGGCGCTGGGCTCCCTCTAGGCTTCTTCCTGGCTGCAGCTGCTGAAGAGTCTGTCCACATAGGAGCTGAGGGGGTCTTATAGGGTGCCCCAGGCTGTGTGGGTAAGGGGCATGGCAGGGTCAACCCGGTAGAACCTGAATGATCTGCTGCTCTTGCCTGTCCAGAGATAGGTGGTTCTAGATTCCCAAGGCAGCCAGAACCCCTGCTGGGCCTGGGCCTCACAGAGGTGGTATGGGTGGGGCTGGCCTCACAGATCACTTGCTAATACTGTATAAACTGGAGACCCTGCATCCGAGTTGAGCTGGTCTTGGGCTATTATTTGAAGGCGGCAAGTGCTGACAAAGCGTGACTTTTCTGGCGCCCCTTTTTGCTTGGGCCTCACCCCAATGCCCCCCTGCACCGTACACAGGGTGAGGTGCCTCCTCGGCACGGACTGTGGGCCTGCCCTCCCTCAGAGCAGGCTCACCCATCGTTTATTCTCTGTTCCCCAATTTTCCTCCCCCTCCCTGCTCGTTAGGAAAGCAAAACCTTTCTCTGCATGTGGCTGACCATGTGGCCCCAACTCTGCTAGTGCCTTCTGAGGGTGGCAGCTGATGACTCCCGGCCTGGGGGGAGGAGGGGTGTGAACGGATGGAGTGGGAAGGGGCAAATGGCTGCTGTGGGTCCAGGGGCTGTGCAGAGCCTTGGTGGGTGAGGTCAGCGCCTAGCAAACCTGCCCCCGGTGATGGGTGCAGGCCTAGGGGAGCCAAGTTGACCCTGGGGACGCTGTGAATTTCTCCTACAGGAGAAATTGAACTTTTTCAACTGTATCAGTAGCACAGTATTTTGTATGAAAAGTGGGAGACTTCTGAACAGTAATTCATTTAACTGCAAGACATTTTGAAATAAAAACAAAACACGTGGTTGTAACTTCGCATTCTGTTATTGGGTTTGTCCTGAAGTTGTCTCTGCTGCGCTCCTAGCACAGGGCCCCCCGCAGGGCCCGGATGCGGGCAATGCAGGCCCCAATGGGCTGGCGCTGGACCTGGAGTTCCTCGGTTAGCTGCTGGATCTGCAGTTCCACCTGGGGGGGCGGGGGGGGGAAGAACACGCCAGGCTGAGAGGAAAGTACATGGGGTGGGGGCGCCCCTGGAGCCTGCCTGGGACTGCCTACCTCCTCCAGTTCTTTCTGCACCTGCTGCTCTGCGTCCCGGTCCTCAGGCCCTGGGTCCTCCTGGCACAGCTCCAGCCACCTACGCAGGCTGCCGGCTTGGCGCTGACAGGACCTGAAAGTGGGGACACCTGTGCCTGTGTGTTCTTGGCAGAGCTTCAAGTAAGCCTACTCTGGCTTGGGAAAGCGTTATCAGCCAATTCTAATGCAGGGGTGGGATGGGGGGAGAACGTCTGGAAGGGCCCCACTGCCCTGTGCTGCAGGCCTGGTGTGGTGGTAAGCCATCTCATTCGCTCTCCACCTCCACTCCTCAGCAAATGAGAATGCCCTTCTCACCACTCCCCGCTCACGCAGAGCTGGAGGGGGACCAGTCTGGATCCCTCCAATGTGTGAGGTTGCTGTGTGCTGGCCCTAGCGCTCACCGAGAGCAGCTGGGACCCAGTCACTGGGTGGGCCCCGCAACAGGACCCAGCTAGGATTTGAGTCTTAGTTGGCTTGATCATGCTCCATTGCAAGCAGAGCCTCTGTCCCCAGGGGAGGCCAACATGGGCCTCATAAGCAGGAGGAAGGGAGAACTGGGAACAAGGCGCACAAGCAGCTCCCATGCATGGAGACGAAACCCGAGTGTGTACAGATGCCGGGCCTCACCAGAGGTTCTGCTTAGTGGTCTGGTAATGCTGTAACTGCTGCTGGATTTCCTCCAGCTCGGCCTCAAGTTCTTCATGGCCTGGGGTGCAGAGGAGAAGAGCTCAACCTTGACCACCTTGCCCTCTGGGACGAGGCTGAGTAGCAGCTCCAACCTGCAGGAGCTCCAAGACACCCCAGCTGCTCACCTGCAGCCTCTGGCACACGTGCAGGCCCAGGGACTGTGAAGTCTCCGGGGAGGAGCGGATGGGAGTCAGCGGCACGAGCCAGGGCTGGGGGCACCTTGGGCTTAGTCTGAGGGGGAGAGGGCGGTGCCGATGCCTGTCAAGGAAGTGTGGATAGTGAGCTCAGAGAAGTGTCTGCCCGCCGTGGCCAGTCCCAGCTCCCCGCCCTGCCACCTGCTCGCCTTCGGCACCAGCCTCGTGCCCGGGGGCTGCTTAGCATTGGCACAGCAGGAAGCTGTGGAAAGCTTTGCCTGCTCTGAGCTCCAACTTGCTAAGAAGTCCGTCGGGCAACGCTCACCCTGTCACCACACCTGTTGCCACCCCACCTAGTCCCCTCTTCCAGGGAGAGTGGACTTGCCACTCATCAGCCACAGCATGGCTCTTTCCTTACCACCTCCCCCCCAGCACTCGCTTCCCTTATATCCCTCCATCACTGAGCGCCCTCTGCTCTCAGCCCGCCACCCCCACCTAGGCATCGTAAGGACAGTGGCCTCTGGGCTAGTCACAGCTGTGCCCTTGCTGAGTGGACATAGTAACAGGTCTAATGGGGGGGCTCACCCTGCCCGGTGTGCCCACCCCGTGGGGCAGGAAGGAGGGTGGAGGCAATGACAGCTTCTCAGAGATGCTCAAGGCCCCAAACAGGAAGGGCCTTGTCTGGGAAGGGCCTGCTGGCTGAGCCACGCCTGGATCCTGCTCGTGAGGCTTCCCGGGCCTGAGCAGAGGGAAGCCAAGAGGTTGGTCAGGATGCCAGGTCAGGAAAAGGAAAGGGGCCACCGAAACACAAGCCTACAGCTACCCAACCTACCCTGGTCCCCCTAGGGTGCCACATCCTGGTGACCGCTTGCCCTGCACAGGCTCCAGCAAGAAGTGTGGGCATCGTGGCTGCTTCCTGGTGGAGCGGGCAGCACTCCTGGAAAGAAGGTGCTGGGCTCACAGGGGCTGCAGGGGCCTGGCCTTCAGAGCCCAAGCCCAGCAGCTTCACTGGCCCATAAGGCAGGAAACTGTCAGGGCAGTGTTGCTCACTTGGGGAGCCCCTAGTGCCCCTGCGAGGGAGTGTGGCGGGGTGTGTGTGTGTGGAGCGAATCTCTAATACCAAAGGTGGTCTCGGGCAGCGCGGGTGTGAGTGGGGAGGGGAGCACTAGCAGGCTTGGGGGAGGGTGGGAGCTGGTCAGGGGGCTGGGTCTTGAGCAGCTCAGCTGTTGGCAGGGTCGTAACTGACCTGCTCTGCCCTCCCAGGGACCTCTCGGGGCTCAGTACTCACAGATCAGGGAGGTAGGACTCCCCGGCCGGTGTCTGGATGCTGGAGGCACCCTGAGGCCTTGGGGCTCGCCGCCTTGTGGTCTCCAGCGTGGCATCCCCCGCCCCAGCAGCAATGTGGTTGGCAAGGGGACCTTCAAAGGTCACTCTCCTGCTGGAGGTGACGAGGGCTGGGGGCCGAGACTCCCTGTCCTGGCCAAGCACCTTCTGTTTCCAGAGCTCGGCACAGCGTCGGACTGCACGGTGGAGGCTGTGGGCTGCCTGCGACATGGTCAGCTTGTGCTCTGCCCTGCCCTGCCCTGCCCTGCCCACTCCCCATAAGAAGGGGCCCAGGGCCTACCTGGATCTGCTGCTGGGCCTGGAGCTGTTGCCGGAGCGCCTTCATGCTGGCTGCAAAGCGCAGGAGTCGTGTAGCACCCTCCTGTAGGAGCTGCTGGTGGTAGGCCTGCACTGCGCGCTCCAGCCGCACCTTTTTCCTCCTCCTCTCCAACACAAAGTCTAGCCATGCAGCCCACGCCTTCAGGAAGGGCAGCAGATGAGCCCCACGCCTCAGAGGGACTCACCAGCAGGTACGTCCCTCACTTGAAGCAGGAACAGCCATATGAGAAGTTACCTTTGCCTGTAGTGACACGGCCCAGAACCACAGGGCCCGAGCTGTACTCTGCTGCTCTCGTCTCCTGGCCACCAGCTGTGGGCCAAAAGACTGAGTTAGCCCAGGAGCCTACCTCAAGCCTGCAGGTCTGTGTCCTCTAGGCCCAGCTCCTAGGTGGGCATGGCCTGGAGGTGTGGAGCTCAGGAATGTGCTGCTGGTAGGGGGAGGCAGGGGGAGGCAGAAGGCTCAGCGAGTGGAGGCTCAGGAGGCCTATGGGGAGTTGACCATAGCTGGTGGGGCTCCAGCAAGGGCAGCAAGAAAGAACTCCAGGACTTGAGGTTTTTTATGTCTAGAACACATGACCCTTCCTGTTTTTGTTTTGTTGGTGGTGGTGGGTTTTTGTTGTTTTGCTTTTTTGTAGGTCATGGGGCTTGAACTCTGGGCCTGGGCGCTGTCCTTGCACTCTTCAGCTCGAGGTGAGTGCTCTACCTCGAGCCACAGTGCCATTTCTAGTTTTCTAGTGGTTCTAGTCTCACGGACTTTTCTGCCCGGGCTGGCTTTGAATGCGATCCTCAGATCTCAGCCTCCTGAGTAGCTAGGATGACAGGCGTGAGCCGCCAGCACCCGGCTGTTGTGTTGTTTTTTGCGGGGAGAAGGGGCTTATGATTGCTAGGCAGGCACGCTACTGCTGAGCCGTTTATTTTATGCTAGTTATTTTGGAGACAGGGTCTTACTTCCTGCCCCTGCCTGTGCCTCTATCTTACCTGTCAGGCTTCCTGGAGTAGATAATGGGGTGTGCCGCTCTTGACTGAGAATGGCTCTCGGGAATTTCTTGGCCTAGCCTGGCCTTGAACCATGAGCCTTCCAAGTGTTTGGGATTACAAGCGTGACCTTCTAGGGCCAGGCATTTCTGTCTTTTATCAAGCTCAGCAAAGACTTACAATCCATTTTACGTTGATTTTTGGCTATTACTCAGAAGTGTGGGACATAACGCTGTAGGAAGCGAAGTGTGACCCTGATGCGCCTGGCCTGCCAATGGCACTTGGAAGGAGCAGGACTGAGGGGGCAGAGGGACAGAGCTGTGGGCCAAGATGATATTAAAGCACCTGACTAGGTGCGGACGCCCAGACGCGGGCTGAGGATGTCCACACCGTGCCTCTGAGCCTGCATGGAGAGGAAGTAGGGAGGGTGTCGGGAGCTTACCTGCTGTCTCCACTGGCAGAAGCAGGCCCGGATGAGTCTCTGTGCCAGGAAGCGGGTGCCATGCCATTGCAGTTGCTGCGGAGAAAGTACCCAGGGGTCAGGGGCCACACACACACACACACAGACACACACACACACACTCCCTGCCTCCCAGCCCTGTGTCCAATCTGGGGCAGCTGCAGGGGGAGGCCCTGTAGATGCTGTGGGCTGGGCTGGGTGCAGAGGGAGTGGGCCAGGCTTCTCCTGAGCAATCTTTCCCAGGGTAGGTAGCACGGAGGGACCAGATGCGGAGGCTGGCTGCCTCCAGCCTCCACTCACACCCAGAAAGGCACCTTCAGGACCCCATGCCACCCATGCTGGCTGCCTTGAGACCCCTTCTGGGGGCCTCCTGCCTCACCCTCTTCCTGGTACACTGCCGATGGTGTGCCTTCCACCGAGTCATGCCTGCCAGCAGCAGCTGCCGCCCGTGGTGCCGGGCTGCCCGCTCCAGCCGAGCTCTCTGCTGCCTGCAGGCCTGCCAGCGGCCAAACCAAGTCCGGAGACAACCTAAGACAGATGGCGGGCAAGCCAGGGTCGGCCTGGTATCGAGGCCGTGGGGGTGAGTCTGGCCTCTGTGAGGATAAGAATGCTAGGCCCCTGCCCACAGCAGCCACACACATGACAGGAGCCCCTGAGTCTGAGGGGTTCCAAGCCTGAGCAGGCAGAGGCGCAGACCTCTGTCCCAGAATTCCATTCCAAGGATGGTGACACAGAAGGGAAAGGGACTTCCCAGGACTGAGCAAGAGCAGGATCTTTGAATATCAAAGGATCAACACAAGGAATCTGGGCTGACCTACAGGCAGCACTGGAGGGCGCATCCCTCAACACAACCCTTGGCCACACAGAACCACAGCTGCCTAGCTTGTTGCCTTGCAGCACAAGCTGCTTGGAAATCAGTTGGGGACAGAAATTTATGTTGAACAGTCCCTCCCCCAATTCATGTCCTTCCTGGAAGCTGAGAATGTGAACTGGCTTGGCAGCCCTGATGTAATGGGTTAAGATGATGTCATACCAGAGTAGACTGAATCCAATGTGTCTGGTGTCCTTAGAAAAAAAGACTCCGAGACCCAGAAGAGACAAGCAGACACACAAGAGGATAGAGGCAGAGTTTGGGGGATGTGTCTACACCCCCCACCCCAGCATGACAAGAGTGGCGAACAACCAGCAGCTGGGGGGAGATGAGGAAGGCTTTTTCTTAGTGCTTAGGGATGAAACTCAGCCCTTTTTTGTTCTGGTCTAAAACCAGGACTTGAACTTGGTATCCGACACTCTCGCTCACTGGCTGGCGCTGTACCGTAGCTTGAGCTATGGCTCAATCCCAGGGTTGATTCTTGTTCTTTTCCAGACCTTCTAATTTATTTCGGACTTACAGCTTCCAGCACTCAAAGAATAGTGTCCTGTTGTTTGCAGCCTTCCAGGCAAGCAAGAGGGACCTGGCACAGAGATGGAGGCACAGCGGGCAGACCACTCAACCCGGCTACCAGGGGCCCCACTTACCCCTCTCCAGCACCTTCTGGGCCTCCCTGAGGGCCGCTGCCTCCTGCTGCCGGTAATATATCTGCATAGACGCCACCTCCCTCCACTGGGCCAAGACCTACGGATGAGACCTGTGATGACGCCTGCCCTGCTGCCAGGTGCGCATGCGCGGGCCCCTCACGGGGTGAGGGGTGCTTACGTTTGGCTCTCACTCCTGCCCCAGGCTCTGGACTTGTCTTTCTTTTTTGTTTCTTTTCTCTCTTTTTTTTTTTTCTCTTCCAGTCCTGGGGCTCAAACTCGAGGCCTGGGCACTGTCCCTGAGCTGCTTTTGCTCAAGGCTAGCACTCTACTACTTGAACCACAGCTCTACTTCCAATTTTTTATGTGGAATTGAGAACTCGAATCCAGGGCTTCATGCACGCCAGGCAAACACTCTACCACGAAGCCACCTTCGCAGCTTCTGGACTTTCTTATAGAAGGACTTATATTCACACCATGCCACAGAGAAGTTGTTAAGCAGAATGCATACAGGGTGTACACTCCTGCATCTGAGACATACATAGGAAATCCAACAATACACACTTCAAAAAGAGCTCAAGCCAAGGGCCAGTGGCTCATGCCTATAATCCTAGCTACTCAGGAGGCTGAAATCTGAGGATCTCGGCTCAAAGCCAGCCCAGGCAGGAAAGGCCATGAGACTCTTATCTCCAGTAAACCACCAGAAAACCAGAAGTGGTGCTGTGGTTCAAGTGGTAGAGCACTTGCTTTGAGCTGAAGAGCTCAGGGACAGCACTCAGGCGCAGAGTTCAAGCCCACAACACACATACACACAAACATGGGGAGGGGGCCTGCTTCACAGTTTAGAAACTCCACCCTCCCTTCCCAGCCCTGAAGCCAAGCAGATCCCCAGCCTCTCCTGGGGATTGGGGGAGGTTCACAAGTTGCCTGACAAGAGGCTGTCATCTCCAGATGCAGCTGCTGCACCCCCACAGAAGCTTGAAGCTTCCCACAGGTGAACTTGCCTCTCAGGGATCCTGGCAATCTGTTTTCTTCAAAAGCACCTGGGGCCAGGGACGACCTCAGCCACACTGTTTCTGCTTAAAGCCCTTCCTTTCACAGCTAAGGCTGGCCACCCTTTCCACCCACAAGGGATTGGAGCGATGGCTCGGGTCATTTCCTGTGAAGACTAAGGTCCTTGTGGTTCTGGGATATGCTTTCCACAGAGCCTCTGCAGCATGCAGGGGTCAGCATCCTCTCCGAGACGGGGCTGGAGCTCCCAGTGGGAGTCATGTATACAGCACACACAAGTTCTAGAAAGTACTTTGCTATGCTGGAAATGTGGCTAAGCTGTAAAGCCAACTGCCTAGCAAACATAAGGCCCTGAGTTCAAACTCCAGTACTATCCAAAACAACGATAACAAAACAATAACAACTAATTACTTCACTTATTACATATCATGTTTTATTTTGATGGACATTGTGTGTGTGTGTGTGTGCACACGTGTGCGCGCGCACGTGCACATGTACATGGGCTGGTACTGTAGCTTGAACTCAGGGCCTACTGTTTTCACTTAGCTTTTTCACTCAAGGCTGGTACTCTACTACTTGAGCCACATGTCCATTTCCATCTTTTGGCTAGTTAATTGGAGGTTAAAGTCCCATGGATTTTTCTGCCTGGGATGGCTTTGAATCTTAAACCCCAGTTCTCAGCCTCCTGAGTAGTTAAGAATACAGGCGTGAGCCACCAGCACCAGCTTTCTCCCACTTGAGCCGCACTTCTACTTGGCTTTTTGCTGGTTAATTGGTGATAAGAATCTAAGGGTTTGTCTGTGCTGACTTCAAACCATGATCCTCAGATCTTGGCCTCCTGAGTAGCTAGATTATAAGTGTGAGCAACCAGGTATTTGCCAAGGACAGATTCCTAATTCAGCCAAAATAAACACACGCTAACACAAATGTAAGAGTGTGCGTGATGGAGAATCACTGGGGTTTTGCGTTTCTTGGATGTACTGTCTGGCACCCGTTCAAATTCCACATCTTGAGGGGGAGAGGGATGGGGTGGGAGATGGGAAGGGATGGGAAGGGGAAACAAAGGAGGAGGCAGCAATGCTGGATAAAAAAATGTACTCATTATCTTGCCCACGTAATTGTAACCCCTGTGAATGGTATTTTCACAATTAAAAAAAAGACATCGAATTCCACATCTTGGTTGAACATGGTCCCCACACCCCCAGTGACCAGCTTGGATCCCTGCACCTCACCTTGGAACACAGTGTCCTTCGGTAGTGGACATACGCTGCCAAGGTTTTCCTGGCTTTATCCGCACGGGCCACAGCATTCTCTCTCCAGCGATGCAACACCCACCTGCAAGGCAGGGGAGCCCGGGAGAAGGGACGGTGCCTCAGAGCACGCGTTCACCCGCTACACTCAACAAAGCATGCTTAGTACCCGCTGTGGGGAATCCCACGTGAGCACCCGGGACTCAGTAGTACCCACGACCAAGAAAGAGCCTCCCCCCCAGTTTACGTGCTACAGGGACACACACTGTTGCTCCAGGCAGTGACAGCACAGTGATCACAGTGTGATAAGGAGACGGGAAGCGGTTCTTCCCCTGCTGCCTGAAGGACTGGACGATGCCTTAGGGGACAGCAGAAGAGGATGAAGGTGTCTAAAGTCCTCAGGGCACATGGGAGGCTGAGAATAACCGGTGCTGAAGGGAAAGAAAGGAACGAGCCTCCTGGGAAGGAGCAGCCTGGAACCTGACTTAGCAGGAAGCGAAGGGTGGGCTCGGGTGCCCTTTCAGAGTGAGCGATGTGGATGGATGGCCCCACAGCGCCAGCCTCCTGAGCAGCTTAGAAAAAAAAGCACCCCGCGGAGGACAGAGCCCGCAGCCCCTGGCTCTGGGCGCCTCTGACGCTAAGGAGACTCACCGCAGCAGCCGCCTCCTGTGCTGGCTCTCCCTGGCGGCCGCCTCCTGCAGCACACGCCGCAGCCTGCCCTGGTACTCCTGTGGGAGGACGAGACACACGGGAAGCTGGGCCTAGGCCACACTCTCTCCTGCTGCAGGGTGGGCTCAAATGTGTGCACAGAGGCCCACAGCGCTCACAAAGGTTAGGGAGAGGCCTGAGCCCCTATTCCAAGGCCAGCACTTTCCCACGAGGCCCTCACCTAAGAGGTCAGCTCCTGGCCATGGAGTCACTTTTTCTGAAGGTTGGCACATTTTTATTTTGCCCAGGAAGGATCCGTGGACCTGCGGCTGTCTGGTCCCTGTTCTGCTCAAGGCTTACTGACTTGCTCTGGAGAGGGACTGGAAGAACAAGGAGACAGCCATCTCCAGAAACTTCCCTGCCCCCGTAGCAGGGGGACCTGGAGGGAGGGGCAGCACTTACCGGCCACTGCTGCAGTGCCCTGTGCAGCGTGGCGTGCTGGCCATGCAGGTCTGCTCGCATCAGCTGCAGCTGCACACTGCAGATCCAGGACAGAGCGGTCAGCAGGGGCTGAGGGACTGTGCGTGTGTGTGTGTGCGCGCGTGTGCAAGGGGCTCCACTTGACAGTTGATTTTTTTCCTTTGGTGTTGGGTCTATGGGTTTGAGCTGAGGGCCTGAGCACTGTCCTTGAGTTTATTTGCACTAGGCTAGCACTCTACCACTTGAGCCACAACTCTACTTCTGGCTTTTTTGGTAGTTTTTTTTTTTGTTTTCCGGTCATGGGGCTTGAACTCTGGGCCTGAACACTGTCCCTCAGCTCTTCAGCTCAAGGCGAGGACTCTACCACTTGAGCCACAGCGCCACTTCCAGTTTTCTGAGTGGTTTATTGGAGATAAGAGTCTCACAGACTTTCCTGCCCAGGCTGGCTTTGAACCGTGATCCTCAAATCTCAGCCTCCTGAGTAGCTAGGATGACAGGTGTGAGCCACCGGCACCTGGTGGTATTTTTTTTTTTTAATACTGTAAGAGGGGCTACAGTGACGTGAGTGGGGTAATGAGCACATTCCCTATCGAGCTTGTTACTTCCTCACTTTGTTTTTCTCCTACCATCCCTTCTCTCCCCTTTTTTGGTAGGTTTAGTGGAGAAAAAGAATCTCACAGACTGTTTTGCCCGCACTGGCTTCAAACTATGATCCTCAGATCTCAGCCTCCTGAGTAGCTAGGATTACAGACGTGAGTTACGGAGCCCAGCTCCATTTGACGTGACGTGAGCTCAGGTAAAGTAAGGAGCCTCCTTGAACTTGTTGGGTCATCTACAAATACGCACTGCAAGAATCACTAACAAGGGCCTGCCTTGTAGTAAGTGCTTGATCAGTGTTGGCTTCCACACTTTCTGCCCTTGACAGGAAGGTTCCTGTACAGGCTCAGGTCAGGATTTTTACATTCAGAAAAGTCAAATAAGCACAGCCTAGCACCTAAAATCTCAAGGAGTCTTGCATCGTCTCCCAATGGGACGTGACACATCCTCTCTCCCGAGGCAGGTGGCTCCGGGTCACCATACTGCCAAGGAGCCCATCTGTCTGCTCTGAGTCATGCCAACAGCACAGCTCCACCTATCACAAGCCACGCTTGGGTGGCACCTTACCTCCTTCCACTTGCTCCAGGCCCAATGCAGGAGTCGCACCGAGTGGAACTGTGTGGCACATACCCTGCCCATCCTCCTGCGGGGAGACAGACGGAGCTCAGCGCAGAGCTGGGACCAGCAGGGGCCTCTTAGCAGGCCTGGCCCCTAGCTAGTATCTAAGTTTTGGGAGGAATCCAGGCCCTCCCTGCAGGGCTGCCAAAGGATTTGAGTTTTCTCCCAGAAAAGTGCACCTACACAGTTACAAGAGGCACCAATGTTTAGGCATGATGCGTAGGCCTGCTGAAGCCCACTGAGGAAGGGCAGCCAGGGAGAGAGGGAGTGAGATTCTCGGAGCACACAGGGGATATGGGGGCAGTAACACCATCTTTATAGTGGACACACGGGCTTGTCTGACCTGCACTCTACAGCTATGTGGTCTGCTAAAAAACTCACACAGCACGTGGCCAGCTACACTGATTCATCAGTCTAGTCCCAGTCCCTGAGCATGGTGATTTTAAAAGGACCCCAATAAGAGGAGGTAGATGATGGTCAGGAGCTCAATCCACAGAGCACTCTGTCCTAGCTGGGATCCTGAGACTGGGACCCCAAGATATGGGCCTGGCTCCACTTAGACTAAGTCAGGTTCCACTTCTGGGACTGACAGTCAGTCTAGGTAGACACGGACCTCGGATGGGCACAGTGCTGCTGTGCACAAAGCTGGCATGACCTGGGAGGGACTTCCGAGGCAGAATTTGACTCACTCTGTCCTGAGCCCTCGGGCTCTCTCCCTCCAGACCCAGAAAGCCTTCCTGAGCTGCCCCTGCTGGTAGTGGGCACAGGCTACTGCCTGCCTCTCCCGCTCCTGGTGATGTGCCGCTGCCTGTCGGTGCCACATGGACCAGGCCCTGCGCAGAAGCTGCTGCTCTGCCTGAAGGATGGCCTGAGGCGGGTCAGGAGAGAGAACAAAGTCAAGCAGAGAAGGGATACAGAAGCCAGGGAAGAATCTTACAGGCCAAAGAAATACAGGCTGAACCAGATGCCAGTGGCTCACGCCTGTAATCCTAGTTACTCAGGAAGCTGAGATCTGACGATCACGCTTCAAAGCAAGCCTGGGGAAGGAAAGTCTATGAGACTCTTATCTCCAATTAGCCACCAGAAAACAGGAAGTTGTGCTGTGTCTTAAGTGGTAGAGCCCTGGCCTTAAGCGGAAGAGCTCAGGGAAAGTGTCCAGGCCCCCAGCTGAGAGCCCAGAGTTCAAGCCCCACAACCAACCAACAAAAGGAAAGAAAGAAAGGAAGGAAGAAAGAAAGAAAGAAAGAAAGAAAGAGAGAGGGGGAAAGGAAGGAAGGAAGGGAGAAAGAGAAATACAGGTTGAGGAGGTACGTGGGTCAGAGGCTGCCTGTGAACTGCACAGGATGGGCCTTAAGCGGAAGAGCTCAGGGAAAGTGTCTAGGCCCCCAGCTGAGAGCCCAGAGTTCAAGCCCCACAACCAACCAACAAAAGGAAAGAAAGAAAGAAAGAAAGAGAGGGGGGGGAGGAAGGAAGGAAAGGAGAAAGAGAAATACAGGCTGAGGAGGTACGTGGGTCAGAGGCTGCCTGTGAACTGCACAGGATGGGCTTGGTTGGTGTCTGGGTCCTGTTCCTGGCTCCTGAGTCAGAGGCGGGAGCCCTGAAGTCTGGTCTGGCTTCTGGGCAACTTTCTCAGGGGACACAGTGAGAGCAAAGGATGAAAACATGACTACCCCTGTCCTCGGAGATAGCTACATACCATTCTCTCTGCCAAACGGTTTTCTCGATGCTCAGACATCTTCTGCCACCAGAGAGCAAACACTTGCTTCTCTAATGTTTCTCTAAAGACAAAGAAACAACAACAAAATGAATATAAGAAAAGCACTTAAAAGTAAAACAGCCCAACAGGGCGCCAGTGGCTCACACCTATAATCCCAGCTACTCAGGAGGCTGAGATCGGAGGATCACAGTTTGAAGCCAGCCCGGGCAGAAAAATCCCAGTATGACTCTTATCTACAATCAACCACTCAGAAACCAGAAGTGGTGTTATAGCTCAAAGTAACAGAATACTAGTCTTGAGCAAAAGAACTCAGAGACAGCACCCAAGCCCTGAGTTCAAGTCCCATGACCCACAAAAGTACAACAGGCCAGGTGCTGGTGGTTCACACCTATAATCCTAGTTACTCAGGAGGCTGAGGTGAGGACTGTGGTTCAAAGCCAACCCTGGGCAGGAAAATCCATGAGACTCTTAACTCCACTTAACTACCAGAAAACTGGAAGTGGAACTATGGCTCAAAGTGGTAGAGCACTAGCCTTGAGCAAAAGAGCTCATGGACAGTGCCAACCCCACAACCAACAAATCAACACATGGCAATCCATGGGGGGAGGGGCGTGTGGGAGAGGCACACACCCAAGCTGACTGAACCCATCTGAGGTGCTCACACAACCCATTATTTCAAAACTAGTAGATAAGGGCTGGGAAGGTGGCTCAGTGGTAGAGCACTTGCCTTGCATGCATGAGGCCCTGGGTTCAATTCCTCAGCACCACATAAGCAGAAAAAGCCAGAAGTGGTGCTGTAGCTCAAGTGATAGAGCACTAGCCTTGAGCTGAAGAGCTGAAGGACAGCGCCCAGCTCAGAGTTCAGACACCACGACCGGACCCCCCCAAAAAAAAAGATTGTGAAAAGGCAACTATGTACTCTCTTACCACTTCTACTTAAAGCTGCATTGGAAGCCCTAGCCTGTGAAATAAGAACTAAAGCAAAAATGGAATACAGATTGGAAAGAGAAAGCAAAGCTATGCTTATTTGTATAAAACTTGATTGTTTAGGCTTGAACTCAGGGCCTGGGCACTGTCTCTGACCCTCTTTGTGCTCAAGGGTAGTGCTTTACCATTTGAGCTTACAGCATCACTTCCAACTAGCTTTCTCTTGCTTGCTCTCTCTCTTTCTGTCAGTCTTGGGGCTTGAACTCAGGGCCTAGAGCTCTTTTGCTCAAAGCTAGAGCTCTACCACTTGGAGCCACAGTGCTAGTTCCAATATTCTGGTGGTTAACTGGGGATAAGAGTCTCCTGGACTTTCCTGCCCCAGCTGGCTTTGAACTGTGATTCTCAGATCTCAGCCCCCTAAGTAGCTAGGATTACAGGCATGAGCCACTGGTGCCTGGCTTGTTTAGGCAATTTTTATTTTGTTTTGTTTTGGTTTTTTTTTTTTGGGTCCGATCATGTCCCTCAGCTCTTCAGCTCAAGGCTAGCGCTATACCACTTGAGCCATAGTGCCACTTCTGGCTTTTTTTTTTTCCGCTTATGTGGCGCTGAGAAATCAAACCCAGGGCCTCATGCATGTAACGCAAGCGCTCTACCACTGAGCCACCTTCCCAGCCCTAGGCAATTTTTTTTTTTTTTTTTTTTTTTTGGGTCCCGTCATGGGGCCTGAACTCTGGGCCTGGGCGCTGTCCCTCAGCTCTTCAGCTCAAGGCTAGCGCTCTACCACTTGAGCCACAGCGCCACTTCCGGCTTTTTTTCTTTTTGCTTATGTGGTGCTGAGGAATTGAACCCAGGCCCTCAGGCATGCAAGGCAAGCGCTCTACCACTGAGCTACCTTCCCAGCCCCCCTAGGCAATTTTTAAAAAAGAAACACGTGTCAGAATGTGATGGCTTGTGTCTGTAATCCTAAAAAGTGGCAGAAATCAGGGGGATCATGGTTAGAGGGCAGTCAAGACTGAAGAGTTAGTGAGACTCCCATTTTATGCTGGGAAGGTGGCTCAGTGGTAGAGCGCTTGCCTTGCATGCATGAGGCCCTGGGTTCGATTCCTCAGCACCACATAAGCAAAAAGAAAAAAAGCCGGAAGTGGCGCTGTGGCTCAAGTGGTAGAGTGCTAGCCTTGAGCTGAAGAGCTGAGGGACAGCGCCCAGGCCCAGAGTTCAGGCTCATGACCAGACCTCCCCCCCCCCCCCCAAAAAAAATAAGACTCACATTTTAATCAATAAGCCAGGCATATCTATATTGCCATTATATAGGAGGCCACAGTAGGATGATCAATGGCTGAGGCCAGACCCAGGAAAAAAATATGAAACCCCACCTGAGAAATAACTAAAACAAAAAAGGCCTCGACATGACTCAAGTGGTAGAGTTTCTGCCTAGGAAGTATGAGGAACTGAAATGAGACTCCAGTTTAAAAAATAAAAAAGGAAGGAAAAAAATACTAAACTTAATTTAGAAAGGTCATGGAATAGCCAGGCACTGGTGGCTCATGTCTACAATCCATGCTACTCAGAAGGCTGAGAACTGAGGATCACAGTTTGAAGCTAGGGCAGAAAAGTCCGTGAGACTTATCTCCAATAAGCTACTTAGGAAAAGCCAGAAGTGGCACTGTAGCTCAAGTGGTTAGTTAGAACTCTTGAGTACAAAGAGTTCAGGGGCAGTGCCCAGGCCCTGAGTTCAGCACCAGGACTAGCTAAAAAGTTTTTTAAAAAGCCGGGCACCGGTGGCTCACACCCGACGCCTATAATCCTAGCTACTCAGGAGGCTGAGATCTGAGGATCGAGGTTCAAAGCCAGCCCAGGCAGGAAAGTCCGTGTGTGGCGCTGTGGCTCAAGTGGTAGAATGCTAGCCTTAAGCACAGAAAAAAGTCATGGAATACTATCAATTTCTATATAGTAGTAGCAAACAACTGAAAAACAAATTTTCAATTCCATTTAAAGTAATATCAGACATTAAAAGGATATTAGAAAGAAAGAAATTTAATAAAATATATGGAAAATATCTAAAATTATTAAATACTGCTGGGAAAAAAATCAAAGAAAACTTAAGTAAAATATATCAATTTTATTTTATTTATGTGTATTCATATATATATGTATGTATGTATGTATGTATGTATGGGTGTGTGCATATATATATATATATATATATTTATATGTATGTATATATATCCTGTTAGACACTGGTGGCTCATGCCTATAATCCTAGCTACTTGAGAGGCTGAGACCTGAGGATTGTGGTTCAACACCAGCCTAGGCAGAAAGTCTATATGACTCTTATCTCCAACTAACTACCAGAAAGTGGAAGTGGAGATGTGGCTCAGTGATAGAGCTCTAGGATTAAGCAAAAAAACTCAAAGACAGTGCACAGGCCCTGAGTCAAGCCCCAAGACTGACCAAAACAACAATTTTTTTTTTTTTTTGTCGGTTGTGGGGCTTGAACTCTGGGCCTGTCCCTGAGCTCTTCAGCTCAAGACTAGTGCTCTACTCTTTCAGAGTGGTTTATTGGAGATAAGAGTCTCACAGACTTTCCTGCCCAGACTGGCTTTGAACCCAATCCTCAGATCTCAGCCTCCTGAGCACGAAGATTACAGGCATGAGCCACCAGTGCCTGGCAAAAACAGAAAAAAAAACGTATCTTAAGCGTATAGAGGGGGGCTGGGAAGGTGGCTCAGTGGTAGAGCGCTTGCCTTGCATGCATGAGGCCCTGGGTTCGATTCCTCAGCACCACATAAGAAAAAAGAAAAAAGCTGGAAGTAGCGCTGTGGCTCAAGTGGTAGAGCGCTAACTTTGAGCTGAAGAGCTGAGGGACAGCACCCAGGCCCAGAATTCAGGCCCCCACAACCTACCAGAAAAAAAAAAAAAGTATATAAGACTAGAGTTACTAAATGTTAAACTATGAATATTTACTTACCAAGAGAATCACAAATCAAACCAATTCTGAAGACTAGAGGGATTATTAATATTTTGCACTAAGCATTTGGACTTTATCACTTAGTTTCTATGCGGACCTATGACAAGGACTATTATTATCAAATTATCTGCTTATATTTGGGAAGACGGAGGCTCGGAGGGATTGGTTTTCCCTGGGTCACGAAGCTGGCCAGTGCCAGAACAAAGGTCTGAATACAATTCTTTGTGAGCTTGCAAGATAGACTCACTGTACTCCCTCATGAACCAGGAAGGTGAGAACGTGAAAAACTAAGTCACCTAAAAAGTCCAACCCACCAAGGCAGGCCAAAATCAAGGTCGGGTTTCATCATACTTCAAGCCCGGTCTCCTGTCCGCTCCCTGTCTGCAATTTGCCCTTGCAGCCTTTAAACACCCAAGCCTGCTTCCCCAGCAGAAAGCCTTTTGGAGGTTCCTCTTGTTTGTAGAGAAAATAACAGAGTATGTGCATGTCTTAAGTACTGAAGTCATTTCTGGATTAGATCTTGTACAAGGTTCCTTGTACAAGACCTTGTACAAGAACAGGAACCAGGAAGAGGAAGCTGCTTTCTTCCAGAGAAGGGAGAAATGTTCTCTTAATACTACCCCCAAAAAACATTTCTGTGGACTCTGCGCTCAGGAGTGCTGGAGTTCTGGGTGATCCCTCAAAGCAGCATCTCCACATTCAACATCACATCCCTTTCTCTCTCTTATCATCTCTCCATCATCCACAACTGATACATTGTATGTAATCTTGAAAACCGCCACTTTACTGGCTCCACACATCTGTTCAAGCATCTGGCCCATTTTCTGTCTATAGCATCAGTCTGGATCACCAGTCTGGCTGTCCTCAGCTTTCCACCCTGATCATCTATCTAGTGACTGCCTTACTCCTTTGGCTCACAGGAAACCCCCACCCCATAATGCCATGCTCCCCTGCCATACTCAGCACTGGCTCTGAGATATTAGAAGAAATTGTGGCATGGATCAGTTTTCAAGTTCTCTTTTAGTCCTCTTTATGCATGTGTGGGGTATTGGGATTTGAACTCAGAGCCTCTTGCTTGCTAGGCAGGTGCCCTACCACTAAGACATGCCTCCAGGCCTGGAATTTTCAGTATTTTCTTTGTTTGAAGTCAATAAATTTTTATTTAATCATTTTCACATATTGTGATTCCCATCAAGGTATCAAGATTTCTCTTGATGGGCTGGGAAGGTGGCTCAGTGGTAGAGCGCTTGCCTTGCATGCCTGAGGCCCTGAGTTCGATTCCTCAGCACCACATAAGTAAGAAGAAAAAAGCCAGAAGTGGCACTGTGGCTCAAGTGGTAGAGCGCTAGCCTTGAACTGAAGAGCTGAGGAACAGCGCCCAGGCCCAGAGTTCAGGCCCCACAACCGGACCCCCAAAAAAAGAAAAAATATATATATATTTCTCTTGAAATCTAAGATAGCCCTTTTTGAAAGAAACAATCCAAGTCACACCACTGCTCAGGAGGATGAGATCTAAGATCAATTGCTATGTCCAACTGACCAACAAAAAGCTGGAACTCACATAGCAGAGCACCAGGTCCAGAGTTCAATCTCTAATGCCAGCAAGCACACACACAACAGAACTGATTGCCCTGTCACAAACCTTTTATAAGAGCTTTTCTTATCACGATTATAGAAATACTGATGACAACTTCAAAATCCCACAGCTAAGGTTTTTGAAATGTCATTCTTCAAGCAAATTATTTTGGGATCCTAGAAAGATGAATTATAGAAAGCTCCTGTAATGAATAAAATTACAGATTTTATTCATTACTATTAATACTGATGGAACACATCTCCCTCATTGTATATTTTGACCCATGGGCTTAAAACGTTACAGCTCTCATTGTCACCACTGCAATACATTTACTGTGATGAAAACGCAACCTGTGTCTCAATTCAGCCCCACGGACAATTCTGGACCCTGGTCAACACTGTCAATGCTTTCTTATACACAGTGTATCTTCTTACCAGAATGTAAAACTCCTAGAGAGTCATTGGAAAAATATTCCCCATCATCAAGTAGAAAGCACGTGGACTTTGGAATGGAGAATTGAGTGTAAAATCTGGTTCTGCCACGTACTTGACTGAATTAGCATGGGTAGGTCACTTATCATTTTGCACCTGTTCTCAGGACTGCTGAGAGGAGGAAACTATTAGTGAAGATAAGGTGAAAGGAGCTTTTATGTATGCTCACTTCCTTCTACCATATAATGCCACCATAAGGGCTGATCACAGTTATGGGTTCAAAATTTCTTCACTGCGTTCCACTGACATGTAGTGGGGACCTGCGCTGAGCAAGACCTTTTTAATTTTGTTGATGACTATAGTTTCAACACTATAAAAATCCAGTCTTAAAAAAAAAAAAGACAAAACAGGTCTTGTAGCACAGAAATTGTTGCTGGGAAATCACACTCAAGAATGTCTGCCAGTGTGATGCATAGTCCCCCACCCCCGGCTCTCCTCCAGAATGCTAATGGATGGCCTCATGGAGCTATCAGCAGCATGAAATGAGGACAGGGGCATGGCTCACAGGCTATTTTGAAAATACTTACAGTAAGGATGGACAACACTTTTCTCAGGAGTACCGGCTGTCCTTTCCCATTAGATGAAATCAATAAGCCCACATTATTGAGAACCCAGGAAGAAACAGCGTCAGGGACCGGGGGAGGGAGAGGCAAAGTCACCAGGTTGTATGCTTGGCAGAGTTAAGATTGGAAATGTGTGGTCTTGTGGAGATGGGAGCCGCCCAGCTCACCTGTGGAAACGGACAGCTCTTGCATTGAGGATATAATCCTGCTGGTGCCGTCGCCAAAGTCTGTGCCAAGTGTGGAATGCAGTGGGCATGGCTCTCTGCTGGAAATGACGGTCTGCTCTGGCCTTCAGGAGCTAAAGTAAAATAATAAATAGCCTTTCATGCTTTGTTTTTCTTTCAAATGAACTTTCAGAGTCTGTACGTGTGTGTGTACGAGTGCGTGTGCACACGCGCACATCAGTACTAGGGCTTGAAATTAGGACTTCATGCTTTCTTGTCTTTTTCCCTCAAGCCTAGCCCTCTACGATTTGAGCATGCCTAGGCTTGGCTTCAAACCATGATCCTCAGACCTCAGCCTCCTCAGCAGCTAGGATTACAGGCATGAACCACTGTTGCCTTGCAAGAGCCATAGTCTTAAGGGAAGACTGCTTCCTACACATGAAAAGTGGAGGAGAAACTCTGAAAATACTGTATGTGGTTTTGGCCAACATGCTAGATGAAAAATGAAACATGGTAGATAAAAATTACTTCAATTAGCCGGGCGCTGGTGTCTCACGCCTGTAATCCTAGCTACTCATGAGGCTGAGATCTGAGGATTGCGGTTCAAAGCCAGCCCAGGCAGGAGAGACCATGAGACTCCTATCTCCAATAAAACACCAAAAAACCAGAAGTGGCACTGTAGCTCAAGTGGTAGAGCACTTGCCTTGAGCTGAAGAACTGAGGGACCGCCGAGGCCCAGAGTTCAAGCCCCATGACCGACAAAAAAAAAAAAAAATTATTTCAATTACATATGGTCTTAGCACATTTTCCTATGTATTTAGATAAATATTACAGATCCAGTTAGATTAACTATATGTATGTAAAAACTATATCTATGTGTATAGTATATACATATGTGCATATATTTTTTATTGGTTTTTTTTTTTTTGGTTGGTCGTGGGGCTTGAACTCTGAACGTGGGTGCTGTCCCTGCGTTCTTCAGCTCAAGGTGAGTGCTCTACCGCTTGAGCCACAGCACCACTTCCGGTTTTCTAGTGGTTTATGGACTTGGGCTGGGAAGGTGGCTCAGTGGTAAAGCACTTGCCTTGCATGCCAGAGGCCCTGGGTTCGATTCCTCAGCACCACATAAGCAAAAAGAAAAAAAAAAGCCAGAAGTAGCACTGTGGCTCAAGTGGTAGAGCACTAGCTTTAAGCTGAAGAGCTGAGGGACAGAGCCCAGGCCCAGAATTCAGGCCCCACGACTGGACCCAAAAAAAAAAAAAAAAAAGAGTCTCATGGACTTTCCTACCTGGGCTGGCTTTGAACCACGATCCTCAGCTCTCAGCCTCCTGAGTAGCTAGGATTACAGGCGTGAGCCACCAGCGCCCGGCACATATATGCATATATGTATGTAAACATACATGCACCCTCACAAACATATGTATGTATAAATCTTGTTTATTTTGGCCTGAACACATCCATAATCACTGTTGTTTTTTATTATCATCTTCCATATATAGAGTTTTGTACAATTTTAGTTATTCATTTCTATATACAATGCATCTTAATCCGTGTCACCGCTTCCACACTTCCATCCATTGGCTGTTTGATTATCTGTCAGCATTTAACAGTGATATGTATAGGCTTTAAAAAAAAATTTTTTTTTGGGGGGGGGGTAGTACTGGAGTTTGAACTCAGGACCCCATGCTTGCTAGGCTGGTACTTGAGCCATACCTCTAGATCTTTTTTGCTCCTGCTATTTTTGAAATACAGTAGCACTTTTTTTCTTCCCAGGCTGGCCTAGACCATGATCCTATTTACGTTCCCCATCCTAGCTGAAGTAATAATGTACACCATTATTTTAGTTGAGATGGGATCACACAAACTTTTCTGCCTAGGCAGGCCCAGAAAGACATTGCTCCTGATCTCAACCTCCTGCTGTAACTGAGATGACATGCATGAACCATCATGCTCAGCTATTAGTTGACATGGAGTCTCAAGAACCTTTCTGACAGCAGTATTTAAGACTACAGTATAGCTGCTACGTGCTGTGTTGTCGTTCCCCCTGCTTAAATTGTTTCTTTCTTTCTTTTTTTTTTTTTGTCGGTCATGGGGCTTGAACTCTGGGCCTGGGCTCTGTCCCTCAGCTCTTCAGCTCAAGGTGAGCGCTCTACCACTTGAGCCACAGCACCACTTCCGGTTTTCTAGTGGTTTATTGGAGATAAGAGTTCTGCCTGGGCTGGCTTTGAACCACAATCCTCAGATCTCAGCCGCCTGAGTAGCTAGGATTATAGGTGTGAGCCACCGGCACTCAGCTTTAAGGTTGTTTCTTAACTATAGCTGTCTGCTATACCTCTGTAGCAGCTAGGGATGCTTGGTCTCATATACGTTGTATAAAAAAAAAAAGAAAAAGAAAAAAGAACCTTTCTGGCTGGGTACCAGTGGCTCACACCTGTAATCCTAGCTATGCAGGAGGCTGAGATCTGAGGATCATGGTTCAAACCCAGCCCAGGCAGGAAAGTCTGCGAGACTCTCATCTCCAATAAACCACCAGAAAACTGGAAGTGGCGCTGTGGCTCAAGTGGTAGACTGGTTACCTTGAGCTAAAGAGCTGAGGGACAGCGCCCATGTTCAGAGTTCAAGCCCCACGACCGACCGAAAAAAAAGAAAAGAAAAGAATTTTTCTGTAGACCCAGGGCTGGCCTCAAACTGCAGTTCTCCTAGGTAGCTAGGCAAGATTACAGGTATGAGCCACCTGAAGGACTGGTGTGGTTTTTACATATCAATGGACCATTGGAACAGTGTGGATATGATGAATATATGAATATGTGAGTACATATACTCCCACCGCTCAGAGAAAAGAATATGCCAGATTTACTCAACAAATGTCATCTTAAGATGCAAGCTCATGAATTCTACCACCGAGCTATATCCCAGCCCTCAGAAACCCATAGTAAGTAATATTTTGAACTGTTGTACTCCTGGGCCATCTTCACTTATAGGTAATCTTCAGGTAGTTAGTGAAAGGTCTTTAAAAAGCAACCATCTTGGGCTGGGAATGTGGCTCAGTGGTAGAGCACTTGCCTAGCATGCATGAAGCCTTGGGTTCAATTCCTCAGTACGACATAACCAGAAAAAGCCAGAAGTGCGCTGTGGCTCTCAAGTGGTAGAGTGCTAACCTCAAGCAAAAGAAGCTCTGAGACAGTGCCCAGGCTGAGTCCAAGTCCAAGGACTGGCAAATAAACACATACATACATACATACATACATAAAATAAAACCAACCATTTAACATCACTGCTTTCACTATTTCTCAGACCTGTTTTGCCAAGATAAATGAACTTAAAAGAGTCCTTTCAGAAACAATCAAAGGGGCTGGGAAGGTAGCTCAGTGGTAGAGTGCTTGCCTCACATGCATGAAGCCCTGGGTTCGATTCTCCAGCACCACATAAGCAGTAAAGCTGGAAGTGGCGGTATGGCTCAAGTGGTAAAGTGCTAGCCCTGAGCTGAAGAGCTGAGGGACAGCACCCAGGCCCAGAGTTCAGGCCCCACGACCGGCAAGAAAAGAAAAAGAAAAGAAAAGAAACAATCAAAGGGACATAAAAGGATATCCCTAAGGATGACACAAAACCAGCCACACCTTGGGATAGTGCCATCTAAACAATCTCACAGACCAGACGACTCTTGGGAACATTCAGATATGGTGAATCGCAGTGCACTCACTCATTTGTGTGTTCATGCATCCAAATGAGTCAGCAATGCCTTTGCCAAACAGAGCTTGGGTAAAGGAGAAGAGACAGGCTGTACCCTGAAGGAGCTCACGGGCTGGGGGGAAAGAGGCCAGCAGGCAACTACACGATGATGCACTGATAAACTACACCATCGAAGTGGCTGGGGTGGAGGAGGAGGAAGGAGCACTCAAGTCAGCAGGGTAGTGAGCCAAAGAGAACTGCAGGTACAGTAATGGGCAGAACACACACAGAATGTTCAGGAATGACTGGCACCTACCTAGCCAGAATGCAGATGAGAAGGGAAGAGTAGTAGCAGGAAGGAGGGGTACAGAAAGACTAGCTCTTGGAGGAGTCTTTGTGCCTTGCTAAAAATTTGTGTTCTATGGAGGGTGTTGGTAGCTCATGCCTGTAATCCCAGCTACTCATGAGGCTGAGATTGGAGGACTAAGGTTCAAAGTTAGCCTGAGGGGCTAGGAATGTCGCTTAGTGGTGAAGTGCTTGCCTAGCATGCACAAAGCCCTGGGTTCAATTCCTCAGCACCATATAAACAGAAAAAGCTGGCAGTGGCACCATGGCTCAAGTGGTAGAATGCTAGCCTTGAGCAAAAAGAAGCTCAGGGATGGTACTCAGGCCCTGAGTTTAAGCCCAGGACTGGCAAAAAAAAAAAAAAAAAAAGCTAGCCGTCAGATTCTGGCAGCAGATGGAGGTAGCAAGAGCAGCACTAATATAACCAGGGGAGTTTGGCTGATGTCTTCTCTGACTGTCAGGGATGGCCAGAATGGCACTTCCCATGTTGACATTATGAACTGAACAAGCTCCCTCTGAGTCTGAATGTGGCTTTGAAATCCTTCAGACAGCTACTCCAACCATTAGAACCAGCATGCAAGATCACTTATCTGCCACCCTGGTGCTGACTTGTAAGGCAATGAGGGCAGGGATTCTCTTTACTTTGTATCATACTTGCAACCTCAGTGCTTAGGCATAGTAGTTGTGTGCAGAGATTGTGCAGTAAGTCTTTTTGGGTGTGTGCACTGGTCCTAGGGTTTGAACTCAAGGCCTAAGTTCTTTTTTTTTTTTTGGGGGGGGGTCCGGTCATGGCGCCTGAACTCTGGGCCTGAGTGCTATCCCTCAGCTCTTCAGCTCAAGGCTAGTGCTCTACCACTTGAGCCACAGCTCCACCTCCGGCTTTTTTCTTTTTGCTTATGTGGTGCTGGGGAATCGAACCCAGGGCCTCATGCATGCAAGGCAAGCACTCTACCACTGAGCCACCTTCCCAGCCCTCAGGGCCTAAGTTCTGTCCTTAGCTTTACTCCTCACGGCTGGCATTGGGCCACGTGAGGCACAGCTCTACTCCCAGCTTTTTGGTGATCAATCGGAGATATGTCTCACAGACTTTTCTTGCCCAACCTGGATTCAAACCAGTTAGGATTATATGCATGAGCCACAGGTGCCCAGCTCAGTAAGTATTCATCAATCTATCTTTACTCACTTGCCATCCTGACCCCACCTCCTCCACCTACTGGAGCATCTGTTTCATATTAGGCAGCCCTGGGATACAACACTCATACTCTTCACCTCTCCACATCTGGAGATCCCACTGAGTGAGGGGCTGGTGAGTTCATATCATAATCTAGTGTGAATGAAGACGTGCATGGCTGGCAGGAGCTAGCTCACTACATTTTCCTAGCAGATAAAGAGATGGAGTTGAGCAGATGTTCTGACTAGCAGGGACTGAAGGAAATTATCTCAGAGCCTTTCATAGCATCCTCTCCTCCAAATCAGAACAATAAGATCTCATGGCAGAGTCCTAAGAAATCTTTGCAAAGCCATCAGGCTGAGTGTAAGTGTAAGGCTAGATGCTGTCTGCTGTGACACACTCCTTACCCGTTTGTATCTTCTCTTCTGAACATACTGGAGCCACAATTGGATACACTTGCGCAGCAATGTCACCCTGGAATAAAACACAGAACAGCTAGGTACTGCTTATCAGCACCTTCAGGTTTCTGGTTTTAAAAATTCTGTTTTTGTTTTTTTTTGTCTATTGTGGGGCTTGAACAATGGGCCTGGGTGTTGTCCCTGAGCTCTTCCGCTCAAGGCAGCCCTCTACCACTTGAGCCACAGTGCCACTTGCAGTTTTCTGTTGGTTAATTGGAGACAAGACTCTCAGGATCTTTCCTGCCCAGGCTTTGAACTGCGATCCTCATATCTCAGCCTCCTGAGTAGCTAGGATCACAGGTGTGAGCCACCGGCACCCGAAATTTCTGTTTTGTTTCTAAGGCAGGAAAATTTAGACATGGTTACCTCTTGAGAGTTAGAGGCACCCATGGGCTTATTAGTTTCATTCTAAGAACAAAAAAAACAAATACCTAACATTTTTTTGGCTTTTTTTTTTTTTGGTTTTGTTTTTTTGTCAGTCGTGGAGTCTAAACTCTGGGCCTGGGCGCTGTCCCTCAGCTCTTCAGCTCCAGGCTAGTGCTCTACCATTTGAGCCACAGCACTACTTCTGGCTTTTTCTGCTTATGTGGTGCTGTAAAATCGAACTCAGGGTCTAATGTATGCAAGGCAAGCATTCTACCACTGAGCTACATTCCCAGCCCTCTAACGTGCTTTTGACTCATGCTTGCTTTAAAATTTTGATAACTCTGGTTTTATTTTCGTTTATTTTTAATACTGGAATTCAAGCACAGGGCCTCACACATACTAAGAAAGTGATATCCCACTGAGCTATATCCCCAGTCCTTGATAATTTCCTTATAGGCTTCATTAGAGCAGCAAGTATACTACCTCTAGAATTTAGAAAATATGTATAAAAGTCACTATATTCTAACTATCTGGATTTTCTTGTTTCAGAGGTACTGCAGTTTCAATTCAAACCCTCATGCTTGCCAAGGCAGGAGCTTTACCACTTGAGCCATGGCTCCCAGTTCCTTTTTGAGTCTGCCACTCACTCATGCCTGGGTAACTGAAGACCCAAAGTCAGAATCACACAGTGTCTCTGGAGAGGCAGAGCCCAGTCTTACCTGTAGTGGCCTCGGGCTGCATGCGATAAAGGGAGCTGCTCTCGCTCCTTCCTCTCCTCAATCTGAGACTGCCAGAGGTTCCAGAACCTGCGCAGCAGCTAAAGTCAGACAGGGAGAAAATGGAGGTGTATTAGGTAAAAAGTGAAATAATTGCTTTTGCTCATAACCTGCTGATTAACTGTTGACTCCCAGACTGTGAGCACTCCCCCTGCACTCCCGCCCCGCAAAGCAGGTATTACCTCAGTGTAGAACATCCAACACCCAAAATAATCATGGCTACCTAGGGAGGAGGTATTGTCTGGCCCAGGGTCAAAGGCAAAGAGAAAGTTCTTCTAGTTTCTGGGATGAAAAAGCTAACCCTAACCTGGGCTTCATGGAAGACAATGATGTTTTAGAAAGTAAAACTAACCTTAGCACCTATTCCAAACTGTGAAATAGTTTTGCCAAAATATTTCACTTCAATCTCTAATCAAGCCCTTCAACTTCTATTTTACAGGGGCTAAAGAAAAATCAAAAGAACAAAAGAAGCGATAAGACAAACTGAGAATAAAGAATACTGTACAAAATAATAAGCATGTTCTTCAAAAAATAAAAAAGCTGGTGATATCATTTTAAAGAAAAACTATACATTATGCTAAATAAGCTAATCACAAAAGGATAAATACTGAAAATTTAATTTATGAGGTCTCTAGAGGAGCCACATTCATAAAGACAGACAGACAGTAGACTGATGGTTGTCATGGCTGGGGGAAGATCAATGGGGAGTTAGTTTTTAATAGATACAGCTGCAGTTTGCAAGATGCAAAGTTCTAGACACAGTGAGTGGTAATAATGAACAACACAGATGTGTGTAATGCTATTTCACAATGGTTAAAATGATAACCTTTATATGTACTTTGCCCACAGTTAAAAATGTATTTAGAAGTAAATCAACACGTACAAAAAGACGTAGTTGCCATGCACTGGTGCCCCCACCTATAATCCTAGCTACTCAGGAGGCTGAGATCTAAGGATCACAGTTTGAAACCAGCCTGGGCAGGGAAGTCCATGAGACTCTTATCTCCAATAAACTACGCAGAAAAAGCTAGAAGTAGCATTGTGGTTCAAGTGGTAGAGCACTAGACTTGAGCCAAAGAAGCTCAAGGACAGTGCCCAAGCTGAGTTCAAGTTCAAGCTCCAGAACTGGGATGGACACACACACACACACACACAGCAGCTGGAAAGATATTTTGGGAACAACTGAAAATCTAAATATAGACTGGGTATATGATAATATTAGATCAATATTATTAATTTTGTTAAAGAGATGATAAAGATATTATAGTTAAGAAACTTCTTACTTGGAGTGATGTATGTGGAAATGTTTCAGTACACTATGTAATGATGTTAATAATTTACTTTGAAATGACTAGAGGTGGGTTGGGGAACTGAAGCAGAGGCTAGGTATGGTGGCACATGCCTATAATCTCAGCTACTTGGAGGGTAAAAACAGGATTGTGATTTGAGATTAGCTTGGGAAAAAGTGAGAGACACTATCTGAAAAACAAAGTAAAATAAAACCGATGGGAAAAAAAAAGGATTAACCAGTGCTCTGAAGCAGCAGTTTCTTTATTAGAAGGTATGGATTACTAAAGAAAATAAGCATTAAGATTTTAGAGTCTAGCTGGGTGCTGGTGGCTCATACCTGTAATCCTAGCTACTTAGGAGGCTGAGATCTGAGGATCATGGTTCAAAGCCAACCCAGGCAGGAAAGTCCATAAGACTCTTATCTCTAATTGTGTACCAGAAATCCAAAAGTGGCATTGTGGCTAAAAGTGGTAGAGCATTATTAGTCTTGAGCAAAAGAGCTCAGGGACAGCACTCAGGCCTGAGTTCAAGCTGCATGACAAAAAAAAAAAAAAATATTTTGGAGTCTAAAGTATAAACTAATCTCTGAGCACAGAGATCACAAGAAAATGGCCATCAGCATGGGTCTCTTAATACAGAAGATAACCCTTACCATGACATCGTGCTGTTGGTGAGCAAGATTCCTCCTTATTCGTTGGAGATGGATTCGGGTCACATTGTCTCTTAGAGCTCTGAAGCAAAAATACTACATAAAGAAGAAATTACAGCAATTATAAAGAATCAGAATCTATAGAAATAAGTGTGGACTTGATCAGGGCATGTGGCTCAAATGGAAGAACACTTGTCTAGAAAGCTCAAGGCCTTCAATTCAAACCCCAGCACAGCCAAAAAAAAAAAGTGTGGACAAAGGAAAAGCGGTGCCTCCAATCAAGCATCAGAATGTTCAGGGAGTGTCTACGGCTCAAGGCACTCCATTCCCTTGAATTGCTTTGCTTTGAAATCAAGTTGGGAACTAATACAAGCCAGCCTATGCAGCAGGCACTCAGTAAGATTGGCTGGACCACTCCCTAGTGTCCACATACTGTGCCATGAACACGTCACCTCTGATCCCCATGATCCACACAAGAAAGAATTCTACCAAGGTCAAAAATCAACTTTTACCTAGGAGAGAGTCAAGGATGGGGGAGGGTGAGCACTAGGACTCAGTGGAGATTGCTTGCCTACCATGCACCAGATCTGCTGGGTTCAATCCCCAGAAAAACACACATATGCACCTTTTTGATTATAGTATTTTTTAAAAAACCATATAAGGGGCAGTATATACATGTATATAATTACAAATGCAGATGGCGTGGTCTGTACTGTGGTAAGAACTCAGGGACTCATGTTTGCTATAAATATACCTTTGCTAGAGTAGCCTAGAAGGAAAGTTTGGGAAGTAGCGGGTCTTGGGACAGGAGCAGGACACTCAGGCCTGGCTCCAGCTCCAACAACAATGTTTCACATTGAACCTAGACAAAGCCCATTTGCCCCTCATGGCCCTGAACCTTGGGTTGTAGTTTCTGCCACAAGAGTGAAGATTAGATGGCCTTAGGAGTTTTCACATTATGGAGCTTGAGGCTCTTATAAGTCTTTGATGACTAGCTCAGATAGTCAGGGTAGGAGGCAGCTGCTAGTTGAACAGAAACTGACTGTCCAGATCTTGCCTCAAGCTCGGCATTGTGACTTTGATCTTTGTTACAGACGAGGCTTCTGCCATTCTAATGGGATCCACTATGTAAAAAGATTGCAACACTTAAGGTTCTTTCACAGCTTTAAATATCTATCTCTGATCCTACACCATTGCCTTCTCTCCAAAATACAAATAGGAACACCAATAATGAAAAGAGTGCTTCAAAACTACAGCTCAGAAAATGGCGCTGTAGCTCAAGTGGTAGAGCGCTCATCTTGAGCTGAAGAGCTGAGGGACAGCGCTCAGGCCCAGGGTTCAAGCCCCACAACCGACTAAATAAATAAATAAAAATAAAGATCCAAAATGTCTTCAAGTTAAAAAAAAAAAAAAAAGACTACAGCTTAGCCAGGCACCAGTGGCTCATGCCTGTAATCTTGACTATGCAGGAGGCTGAGATCTGAGAACTGCAGTTCAAAGCCAGCCTGAGCAGGAAAGTCCAAGAGACTCTTATCTCCAATTAACCACCAGAAAACTGGAAGTGGCACTGTGGCTCAAGTGGTAGAGAGCACCAGCCTTGAGCTGAAGAGCTGAGGGTCAGCACCAGGCCCAGAGTTTAAGTGCCACAACCAACCAAAACAAACAAACAAACAAACGGGCTGGGAAGGTGGCTCAGTGGTAGAGGGCTTGCTTTGCATGCCTGAGGCCCTGGGTTCGACTCCTTAGCACCACATAACCAAAAAGAAAAAAGCCCGAAGTGGCACTGTGGCTCAAGTGGTAGAGCGGTAGCCTTGAGCTGAAGAGCTGAGGGACAGCGCCCAGGCCCAGAATTCAGGCCCCACAACCAGACCCCCAAAAAACAAAACAAAACAAAACATAAAACTGCAGTTCAAGCCAGGGACTGGTGGCTCACACCTGTAATCCTAGCTACCCAGGCGGCTGTGGCTAAAGTGATAGAGCACTAGCCTTGAGCAAAAAAGCTCAGAGACAGTACCCAGGTCCCAAGCCTAACAACAAACATGTTTTGTTTTGTTTAAAAAAAAAAAAAAAAAGCCGGGCGCTGGTGGCTCACGCCTGTAATCCTAGCTACTCAGGAGGCTGAGATCTGAGGATCGCGGTTCAAAGCCAGCCCGGGCAAGAAAGACCGTGAGACTCCTATCTCCAATAAACCACCAGAAAACCGGAAGTGGCGCTGTAGCTCAAGTGGTAGAGCGCTCGCCTTGAGCTGAAGAGCTGAGGGACAGCGCCCAGGCCCAGAGTTCAAGCCCCACGACCGACAAAAAAAAAAAAAAGACTGCAGCTCGCTCAGACCTGGGAACCTTCACTCAATCAGTATGAAAGAGTGAGGGTCCCAAGTGGATGACTCCAAGGCCATGGGGTGGGGTCCTAGATTTGGCACTCTTACCAGCAGCCTGTGTTGGTGGTGCTCTTCTGCCACCTTCCGCTGGGAAGCTTCTTCGGCACACAGCAGCATATCTGCCAGGAGCTAAGGCCTCCATTGTCAACAAGGCTCCCAACCCTACAGAGTGCACCTGCTTCCTCTGATCCACCTGAAGTACCACGGCTGTAAGGGGAACAAGGATGATGTCTACCTCTGTCCCTTGGTAACTCCCAGGAAAACAACCGGGAACCATGTGAGTTCCTTATCAAATAGCTGGCCTGGCCTTCCCTCTCCTTGGATGCCCATGTGATGGAAGGCAAAAAGTACCCAAGTACCAGTTTTGGTAAGCACTTCCACATCTCAGGAACTTGCTCCTTCTCTGTACTCTCGGCTTTGGTATCACAATCTAGTCAGACATTGGAGTGAAAAACCTTGGAGTTATTTTCAAATGCTTTTTCCTCCCACCTCCCCCATGTTGCCCATCTGCTCTCCTCTCTCCATCTCCAGCATTGTTCTGTCCCTGCAGCTCATCTGAACTGTCCCTCACACAGAATGTAAGCATACTCTCACACAGCTGGTGAACCTGGGACAGCCTCCATCCTCTAATCCAGAACTACCTAAAGCACAAATCTATGCTTATGCATGACTTCTCTGGAACCCTTCAGAAGCTCCCCAGTGCCAAGCATCAGAAAAAGCGGCAGACTCCTAGTCTGCATTGGCTCTCCTACCAGCGACACACTACAACTCCCTAGCTGAATGCTTCTCCTAACTTGTAAACCTGGGCAGATGGCATCCCTGAAATGTTCTTCCTAGTTTCTGTGCCTGGAGAACTTGTCTTCCCTAACATCTACGTTTAGTTCAAACATTCCCTCCATGCCTGAATCCCCACAGAACTTGATAAAAATCTCCTACTACAGGCCTACACTGACATTAAACTCTCTATCCTTCTGCCTCAGCATCTTGAGTGCCAGGATTCTAAGTGTGTGCCATGATGCCTTTTTTAGATACAAACTTTTATTTTCCCTTTGGTGTCAGTTCTGGGGCTTGAATTTAAGGCCTGAGCACTTTCTCTGAGATTTTGTGCTCCAGGACAGTGCTCTACTGCTTGAGCCACAACTCTAGTTATGGCTTTTTGGTAGTTAATTGAAGATAAAAATCTCGGGGCTGGGAAGGTGGCTCAGTGGTAGAGTGCTTGCCTTGCATGCTTGAGGCCCTGGGTTCGATTCCTCAGCACCACATAAGCAAAAAGAAAAAAAAGCCGGAAGTGGCGCTGTGGCTCAAGTGGTAGAGCGCTAGCCTTGAGCTAAAGAGCTGAGGGACAGCGCCCAGGCCCAGAGTTTAAGACCCACAACCATGTTGCAGGGGGAGGGGGGGAGGGGGAAGGGGGGAGGATAATGAATACTCTGAGTATCTGAGTTGCTCCATCTACAGAACAGAAGCAAGGGCATTTAATGTGATTTGAGGGTGATGAACAAATGAATATATGGAGGAACATCCAAGCCATCTAAATCTCCACCACAGATATACACTGCGTGGAGGGGTGTAATAATTAAGAACATTTACACAGGAGTAAAGGCCTATGTTCCCAAATACTTAGAAAATCTCTTACAAAACACCCATCTGTTTCTCACCTACGAAGGAAGATAGGGACACCTATTCCACAGCACTGCTACAAATTGTGCATAATGACCACAGATGGTACCAAGTTCAATAAACAAGAGCCATGACCACTGAGAAGCAGATGGCCAGGACTATTTCCACTCCCTGAGTGCTCAGAGAAAAACCAGGAAATGGGGCAACAGAAAAAAGAGATGGAATAATGATGTCCTCTCTGGAGGAGGCAGAAAAAAGATTTAATCAGGAGGGAGCAGCAGAGGTATTAGGCTCTTTTTTTTTCTTTTTGCCAGTCCTGGGACTTGAATTCAAGGCCTGGGCTCTATCCCTAAGCTCCTTTATGCTCAAGGCTAGTACTCTACCACTTAAACCACAACACCACTTCTGGCTTTTTCCGAGTAGTTTATTGGAGATCCGAGTCTCATGGACTTTCCTGCCCAGGCGGTTTCAAACAACAAGCCTCAGCAGTCATCCTCCTGAGTAGCTAGTGGCATCAGCCACCAGCTCTTGGCTTCTAGCTCTATTTTTTTTTTTAAGTTGGGTGGTAAGTTACTTTTTATTTTTTTTCTTTTTTGTCAGTCGTGGGGCTTGAACTCTAGGCTTGGGCACTGTCCCTGTGCTCTTCAGCTCAAGGCAAGCGCTCTACCACTTGAGCCACAGCACCACTTATGGTTTTCTAGTGGTTTATTGGAGATAAGAGTCTCAAGGACTTTCCTGCCTGGGCTGGCTTTGAACCTCGATCCTCAGATCTCAGCCTCCTAAGTAGCTGGGATTACAAGCGTGAGCCACCAGCGCCTGGCTAAGTTACTCTTTAAAGTATAAGTTGTGTGTATTCTTTTCAATGCACAGTTCAAGTTAAAACAACAACAAAATAACTCAAAGAGGTCAGCAGAGATAAGGCTGCGTTAGATAGTTTGCTAACGGCGTCTTCCTGACACTTTGCCATGCAGCTCAGCTCTGTGCTGTCCTGGTTGAGGAGTGCACAGGCCTGGGTGACTGAGAAGGATACAGTGTTTCCAATGTGTGAAGACCCTCCGCAGTGCCATCTTCCTGGCCAGCTCCTCCACCAGGGCCTGGTGGGCGGACAAGCTCTGCCTCCATTGCCAGGCCCACTGCCAGTCACAGAAGTGTATCTGCAGCACAGTGACATGGTGGAATCGCTCTGCTGTCTCTGTAACAGAAACATAACTTCAGTTTCTTCCTGCTCTTCCATTGAGTGAGAGATGGTAAAAGAAGACAACAATCCTAACCACTAGCACACTGCAGGGATCCAAGGCTGCTCCTGGAAAGGATATTCGCAAGTTTTTCTTTTTTGTGTGTGTGGTCCTGGGGCTTGAACTTAAGAGCCTAGGTACTGTCCCTGAGCAGTTTCTTTCCTTTTTTCTTTCTTTCTCTTTCTTTCTTTCTTTCTTCCTTTCTTTCTTTCTTTCTTTCTCAAGGCCAATGCTCTATCACTTGAGCTACAGCTTCACTTCTGCTTTTTGTTGGTTAATAGATGAGTCTCATGACTTTCCTGCCCAGACTAGCTTTGAATCTCAAACCTCAGATCTCAGCCTCCTGAGTAGCTAATATTATAGGCGTGAGCCACTGGTACCTAGCTCTTCGAAACTTTTTAAACACGGTTGTAACTTAGCTCAGTAATACAGCATGTGTGTAGCATATCCAAGACCTTAAGCCTGATCCTCAAAACCAAAATATAAAAAGTTGCAAATACTAAAAGGTCTTCAAGAATTCCTAAGCTGCTTTTTCTTCTCTCCAAAGAAAGAGCCAGGGTTGGGACTATGGCTTAGTGGTAGAGTGCTTGTCTCGTATGCCCGAAGCCCTGAGTTTAACTCCTCAGTACCACATAAACAGAAAAAGCCGGAAGTGGCACCATATCTCAAGTGGTAGAGTGCTAGCCTTGAGCTAAAGAAGCTCACAGACAGCACCTAGACTGAGTTCAATCCCCATGACCAAAAAAAAAAAAAAAGAGCCAAAGGGGGCAGGGGGAGGATTGGGGCAGGGGGGTGGATGGGAAGGGGAAACAAAGGAGGAGGCTACAATGCTTGATAAGAAATGTACTCATTATCTTGCCCATGTAATTGTAACCCCTCTGTACAGTATTTTCACAATAAAAAAAAAAAAAAGAGCCAAAGGTCTGTAATTTTAGGGATGAGGATGCTGTAAAAATCAGTTTTATCACCAGTTTCTCAGGAATGGTATCTGGTGCTTTCATAAAGGAGTGTGTTGGGGCTGGGAAGGTGGATCTGGTAGAGTGCTTGCCTTGCATATATGAGGCACTGGGATTGATTCTTCAGCACCACAAAAGCAGAAAAAGCCAGAAGTGGCGCTGTGGCTCAAGTGGTAGAGCTCTAGCCTTGAGCTGAAGAGCTGAGGGACAGCACCCAGGCCCAAAAATTCAAGCCCCATAAAATACGGAAAAAAAAAAAAAAAATCTTCCAAGAGGGGAGATTTCTGTGGGGAGGTTTGGGAGAAAGGAGGAGAGCCTAACCTGACCTAAGATAGCATAGTATCTTGCTTACACTGTTTTATCTCAATACATTCAAGTACAAAAAAGATTGCCAATGATCACGTTCTTATGATTACTAGTTCTGAAACCAATTGGGAAACTAAATCATAAAAATATTATTCCAAAGCTGGGTACTGGGGCTGGGATATAGCTCAGTGGCAAAGCACTTGCTTAGCAAGTGCAACATCCTGGGTTCGATCCCCAGTACCAAAAAAGAAAAGACAAAAAAAAATACAGTTAAAAAAAACAAACCCAAAGCTGGGCGCCGTGGTTCATACCTGTAATCCTAGCTACTCAGGAGGCTGAGATCTAAGGATCTTGGTTCAAGACCAGCCCGGGCAGGCAAGTCCATGAGACTCTTTTTTTTTTTTCTTTTTTTTTTTCCATGAGACTCTTATCTCCAATAAACCACCAGAAAACTGGAAGTGGCGCTGTGGCTCAAGTGGTAGAGCACTTGCCTTGAGGTGAAGAGCTGAGGGACAGCACCCAGGCCCAGAGTTCAAGCTCCATGATTGACCAAAAAAACCCCCCCAAAAAAAAAACTTGTGGGTAGAGATGGGAGGGAAAAACTGGGAGTGAAGGAAGGTGTGACATTGTCCAAAAAGAAATGTGCTCTTTAACTTATGTAACTGTAACACCCCTCCCTTTTTTTTTTAATGTAACTGTAACATCTTTTTTTTTTTTTGTCGATTGTGGGGCTTGAACTCTGGGCCTGAGCGCTGTCCCTGAGCTCTTCAGCTCAAGGCTAGTACTCACTCTACCACTTGAGCCATAGCACCACTTCCAGTTTTTCTGGTGGCTTATTGAAGAGTCTCACAGACTTTCCTGCCCAGGCTGGCTTTGAACCATAATCTTCAGTCTCCGCCTCCTGAGTAGCTAGGTTTACAGGCATGAGCCACTGGTGCCCAGCTGTATACCATCTTGGGTATTTATTTATTTATTTATTTATTTATTTATGTATTTATTTATTTTTGTCAGTTGTGGGGCCTGAACTCTGGGCCTGGGCGCTGTCCCTCAGCTCTTCACCTCAAGGCTAGCGTTCTACCACTTGAGCCACAGTGCCACTTCTGGCTTTTTCTGCTTATGTGGTGTTGTGGAATTAAACCCAGGGCCTCATGCATGCAAGGCAAACACTCTACCACTGAGCCACCTTCCCAGCCCCATGTATATCATTTTTATAACAGCCAAAAAAATTTTTTTTAAAGAATGATGTATTCTTTTTCTCCCAAAATCTTTTCACCAAAATTTATGGCATGACATAGTAATATTTCTTCTTCATAAAGTATCACTGGCACCAGGAAAGGAGAGGGATATTTCAACCAGGCCCTTGTTTTGAGAGTTCAGGGGTCCTGCTCACCATTCTGTTGCCTCTTCTTCCTGCGGACATGCAGGTATTTAAGCCATGCCTTCAAGGATCTCTGCTTTTGCTGGTGCTCATGGTGTTGCATTGCAAAAACCACCTTTAATCTCTCCTGCTGACTATGCTGGAGTTCTTTTTGCCACCGTGACCAAGCCTAAAACACAGAGAAATCACTGAATCAAGGGAGAATCAGAAAAAGTGGAAATGCAGGTGAGGGGAGGAAAAGAAACAGATACATCAGATAGGCTAAAATTAGAAATCAGAAGCCAGGAGCCAGTGGCTCATACTTACAATCCTACTCAAGAGACTAGATCTGAGGATTAAGGGTCAAAGAGTCTCACAAGACTCTTAACTCCAATTAACAACCAAAAAAAGCTGGAAGTGGAGTTGTGGGTCAAATAATAAAGCCACTAGTCTTCAGCAAAAGAGCTCAAGGATAGCACCCAGGTCCTGAGTTAAGCCCTAGGATGAGCACAACAAAAGAAAAGAATCAAGTATGGATGAGCAACTTTCTTCCTATCCTAAATCAAAAGGCGGCTCTTTAAAAAAAAATTTATTGTCATTATAAAGGTGATGTGTGGGGGGGGGAGGGGGTTACAGTTAAGTAACTCAGGTAAAAAGTACATTTCTTTTTCTTGTTTGTCAGTCACAGGTTTTGAACTCAGGGCCTGGGTACTGTCCCTGAGCTTTTTCACTCAATACTATTACTGGTCTACCACTTTAAGCCACAATGTCACTTCCAAGAGTACATGTCACCCCTTTACTGGCTCTCTCCCAGTTTCAAAAGGCTCTTTAAGTCAACTTTGACTGGACTCTAGATAAGCACAAAATAGCAATAATACACAAACACAGGTTTTTTTGTTTTTGGTGTTTGCTAGTGCTACGTCTTGAACTCAGGTCCTGGGTTCTGTCCTGGAACTTTTTGCTCCAAGCTAGAGCTCTACCACTTGAGCCTTATCTCCATTTCTGGCTTTTGGGTAATTAATTGGAAATAAGATACTCATGGACTTTTCTGCCCAGGCTGGCCTTGAACTATGATCCTCAAATCAGTCTCCTGAGTAGCTAGGATACAGGTATAAGCCACCAGCACCTGACATTTCTTTTGTTAGTTGTGGGGCTTAATCTCAGGGCATATGTGCTATCATTGAGCTTTATTTATTTGTTTGTTTATTTATTTATGGCCAGTCTTGGGACTTGAACTCAGAGCCTGGGCACTGTCCCTGAGCTTCTTTTGCTCAAGGCTAGCATTCGACCACTTGAGCCACAGTGCCACTTCTGGCTTTTTCTGTTTATGTGGTACTGAGGAATCAAACCCAGGGCTTCAAGCATGCTAGGCAAGTACTCTACCACTAAACCACTTTACCAGCCCCTATCCTTGAGCTTTTTTGCTCGAGGCTAGTGCTCTACCACTTTGAGCTATGGCACCACTTCCTGTTTTCTGGTGATTAATTGGAGATAAGAGTCTCACAGACTTCCTGTCCAGGCTGGTTTTGAACCACAATTCTCAGGTCTCAGCCTCCTGAGTAGCTAAAATTACAGGTGTGAGCCACCAGTGTCTGGTAAGAAATTTTTAAAGATAAAATAATTATCATAATCCATTCTGATATTTACATTTATAGACCACAAGGTTTTGATTTTCTCTGATTCTACATTTGCAAAAATTTACTTTGAAAATTCTGATTCCTAAGACAGTGTTTTAATGATTCACTTTGTGTCACAATATAACTCCTAATAGCAGCATATCAACATAGGAGGGATGCAAACAGCTGGAAAGCAGACACCCAAATAGCATACTAGCTTATGAAGGGAAGCTTGGCCTCATGGCCACCAGTGAAATATAAACCAGTACCATAATGAAGTACCAACTAACACCTAACAGCATGGTAAAAATGCACAACTGTCGCAGTGCAATGGCTGATGAGGGTGAAACTCTAGCAGGTCAGCTGGCCTGGCACTAGAAAGGAATCGTGAGCTACTTAATGAGGACAATGAGAGGAAAGCTCAATAACCCAGCAAAGGCACTTCTAGAAGGCAGACCAAAGAAATCAGAAACTTGTACAAGGGTATACTTAAGAATATCTTTGTAGTACTGTTGGAATTGAAAAAGAGCAGAGGTACCCAGCAGTTCATCAGTAATTGAGTAAATAAACTGTGCCTTACTCATGTAATGGGCAAATAAATAATTAATAGACCCTTGCAAGGGGGTTGTAGCTTATTGATAGGGCACTAGCTTATAGACAAGGCTCTAGGTTTGATCTCCAATATCACTAAAAATATTAATAATAAAAAGTAGCTGCCGCTGGTGGCTCAGGCCTGTAATCCTAGCTACTCAGGAGGCTGAGACCTGAAGATTGCAGTTCGAAGCTAACCTGGACAAGAAAGTCTGTGAGACTCTTATCTCCAATAAACCACTAGAAAATTGGAAGTGGCACTGTGGTTCAAGCAGTAGAGCACTCGCCTTGAGCTGAAGAGCTAAGCCCAGAATTCAAGCCCCACAACCAACCAAAAAAAAAAAAAAAAGGAAGGAAAGAAGAAAAAGGAGAAAATCTGTCTCTGTATATATACATGAATACATCCCAACACATTGATATATTTTTTTATTTTTATTTTTTTGGCCGGTCATGGGGCCTGAACTCTAGACCTGGGTGCTGTCCTTCAGCTCTCCAGACCAAGGTTAGTGCTCTACCACTTCAGCCACAGTGCCACTTCTGGCTTTTTCTGCTCATGTGGTGCTGAGGAATCGAACCCTGGGCCTCATAAATGCAAGACAAGCACTCTACCACTGAGCTACCTTCCCAGCCCCCCATTGTTGTATTTTAAAAAGCAAGCTACAGGGGTTGGGGATTTAGCTCAGTGGAAGAGCACTTACCAAGGCCCTGAGTTCAGGCCTCAGCTCTAAGGGGAAAAAAAAAAGCAAACTGCAAAATAAATGTAGGGCTGAGAAGGTGGCTCAGTGGTAGAGTGCTTGTCTTGCATGCATGAGGTCTTGGGTTCGATTCCTCAGTACCACATAAGCAGAAAAAGCTGCAAATGGCACTGTGGCTCATGGTAAAGCGCTAGCCTTGAGCTAAAGAGCTCCAGGACAGCGCCCAGGCCCAGAGTCCAGGCCCCATGATCTACCAAAAAAAATAAATAAAAATAAAAGTATAAGCCAGGGGGCTGGGAAGGTGGCTCAGTGGTAGAGCACTTGCCTTGCATGCTCAAGGACCTGGGTTCGATTCCTCAGCACCACATAAGAAAAAAGCCGGAAGTGGCGCTGTGGCTCAAGTGGTAGAGTGCTAGCCTTAAGCTGAAGAGCTGAGGGACAGCGCCCAGGCCCAGAGTTCAGGCCCCATGACCGGACCCCCCCAAAAAAAAATAATAATAAAAATTAAACAAAAAAAAGTATAAGCCAGGTGTAGGGGGCTCACGCCTGTAATCCTAGCTACTCAGGAGACTGAGATCTGAGGATCGAGGTTCAAAGTCAGCCCGGGTAGGAACATCCATGAGACTCTTATCTCCAATAAGCCACTAGAAAACCAGAAGTGGCACTGTGGTTCAAGCGGTAGAGCACTAGCCTTGAGCTGAAGAGGGCAAGGACAGCACCCAGGCCCAGAGTTCAAGCCCCACAACCGACAAAAAAAAAAAAAAAAAGCCTGGGCAGGAAAGTCCCTGAGACTCATCTCCAATTAACCACCAGAAAACTGGAAGTGGTGCTGTGGCTCAAGTGGTAGAGCGCTCACCTTGAGCTGAAGAGCTGAGGGACAGCACCCAGGCCCAGAGTTCAAGCCCCAGGACTAACAAAAAACAAAACAAAACAAAAACAACAGCAGTAGGACAAATTTGGGCCCAAGTTTACTCATTTTTAGTCCAGTCTAGGTGGGTGTATATACAATTATGGAGAGAGGGAGTTCTTGCTATGGATTTATTTTTTCTTTTATTTTAGTCAGTCATGTGGCTTAAACTCTGGGCCTGAGCGCTGTCCCTCAGCTCTTCAACTCAAGGCTAGCGCTCTACCACTTGAGCTATAACGCCACTTCCAGTTTTCTGGTAGTTTATTGGAGATAAGAGTTTCACGGACTTTCCTGCCCAGGCTGGCTTTGAACCGCAATCCTCAGGTCTCAGCCTCCTGAGTAGCTAGGATTACAGGCATGAGCCACTGGCTCCCGGCTGTTATGGATTTAATCTAGGGCTGCACACATGTTAAGCATGTATTCTACCACTGAACTATATCTCCAGTTCCTATATATGCAATTTGCATATGATCTGCATATACTGGCATAGCCAGCAATGTGTTGTCAGATTAAAAAGATACTACTGAAACCTTTACTAATAGGTATTTTTCTATGTTCTATTTTGTGCAACTAACTTGGCACACCTATAAATATTCCACAGACATTTATCAAAGGTCATTGGAATCTTACTGCAATGTACTTTTGGCAGAGTCTTTAGGCCTTTACAATCAACCCAAAGCCAGTGGCTTTCCCAATGAAAGCCTGTAAGAAAAATAAAGCTATCCAGAAACAGAAACTGATTCTTCTATTCAACTTTAGTTTCTTTTCTGCTTGCATTACTAATCTGCAGTGGAAAAAACAGTAAAGAGGAAATAAACTGCTTTTAGCAAAAGCAGTCTGACTAATTCACAAATCCCTTCCAGTCCCACAATGATAAGAATTCTCTACAAATTATAAGAATCACATGGTGGACCAGCTCTACAGATTCCACACAGCAGCATTTGCCTATTCAAAAGCCCAGGCTTCCATACTTCACCTGTCTGTCCAACACAAAGCAAGAGAAGGATAGCTTCCTACTAAGAATATAGATGGGACACCAAAGTCCAAGTCTACTGGACGTACCTGCAGTTGGAGGCTCAGGGCGTTGTGCCTCACAGCTGTAACATGAAGAGCATGATTCACATAGGCTTGTCTTAGTTGCTGCTTCCACTTGCTCCACCACACCCTAAAAGACCAAATCAGAGATGGAATCAGTCAGGAAAAAGCCACCCAGAACAGAGAAGGGCAGTTTAGGTGCTAGCTCAAATCCCCAGCTCAAGTTTTCTCTCACGCAGTGCCATCTCTAGACTGATACTACTAGATCCACTGATAAAACAAGAACCAACGATCAAGCCAAGAGCTGGTAGCTCACATCTGTAATCCTAGCTATGCAAAAGTCTGAGATCTAAGGTTTGAGATTCAAAGCCAGCTCAGGCAAAAAAGTCTGTGAAACTCTTATCTCCAATTAGCCACCAAAAAGCCAGAAGTGGAGCTATGGTTCAAGTGGTAGAGTACAAAAAAAGCTAAAGAATAACACCCAGGCCAATTTCAAGCCCCAGTATCACAACAACAACAATAACAGAAACCAATAATCAATAAACAGTTCAGTCTAGAAACTAGTGGTTCAGTCCTGTAACCCTAGTTACTCAGACTGAGACCTGGAGGGGTTACTGTTCAAAGCCAGCCCAGGCAGACAAATCATAGACCTTGATCTCCAATTAACTTGCAAAAAGTCAGAAGAGAAGGCATGGCTCAAGTTGGAGAGTCCTTAGACTCTGAGTTCAAGCCCCAGGACCAGTAAAACTGAAAAATCTTTGATGGCTAGAGTCTTGGCTCCAGTGATACAATACTAGCCTAGTAAGTGTGAAGCTCTGGGTTCAATCCCCAGTACTTCCAAAAACAAAACAAACCATTGTTTTAACTTTTTTTTTTTTGGGTCCGGTCGTGGGCTTGAACTCTGGGCTTGGGCGCTGTCCCTGTGCTCTTCAGCTCAAGGTGAGCACTCTACTGCTTGAGCCACGGTGCCACTTCAGGTTTTCTAGTTGTTTATTGGAGATAAGAGTCTCACGGACTTTCCTGCCCAGGCTGTCTTTGAATCATGATCCTCAGAGCTCAGCCTCCTGAGTAGCTAGGATTACAGGTGTGAGCCACTAGCATCCGGCTAAACCATTGGGGTTTGTTTTTTTTTTTTGGGTCCAGTCGTGGGGCCTGAACTCTGGGCCTGGGCGCTGTCCCTCAGCTCTTCAGCTCAAGGCTAACACTCTACCACTTGAGCCACAGCGCCACTTCCGGCTTTTTTCTTCTTGCTTATGTGGTGCTGAGGAATCAAACCCAAGGCCTCAGGCATGCAAGGCAAGCGCTCTACCACTGAGCCACCTTCCCAGCCCTAAACCATTGTTTTAAAATGGGTTAAAGGTAGAAAGGTAAAAAGATGACTTCCAGTCTGTGGAACAATGTAGCACACTCACCATAAGATGCTCCGCTGCCTAAACTCCAAAGCAGTAGTGTGCATGTGAAATTTGGTTCTACGAACAAACACGTAGATCAACCAGGACTTCCAGGACTTTTGTACCTTTCGCTTTACATCTAGAGACACCAAAAAGATATTTTGTTTTATTTTTTATTTTTTTTTTTGGGTCGGTCGTGGGGCTTGAACTCTGGGCCTGGGCGCTGCCCCTCAGCTCTTCAGCTCAAGGTGAGCACTCTACCACTTGAGCTACAGCGCCACTTCCGGTTTCCTGGTGGTTTATTGGAGATAAGAGTCTCACGGTCTCTCCTGCCAGGGCTGGCTTTGAACCTCGATCCTCAGATCTCAGCCTCCTGAGTAGCTAGGATTACAGGCCTGAGCCACCAGCGCCCGGCCTCAAAAAGATATTTTGAAGAGAGTAAAAGGAGATGGATTAATCTGGGTAACAATATAAACTCAAGCCCTCTGAACTAACTAATCATACCTTTGAGTAAGTACATCTTTCCAGCCTTCAAGTGCCCCCTGCTGGAAATGAGATGAAGCATTACAAAACTAAGAAGGATCCAAGTGTACGTGGGAATAATACAAAAAAGGCATTTATAAAACATTTAAAGGAAAATCATTCTGTTGAACTTTCTAGAAATCTTTTACATCAAAATTTCTTCTTTTTGGCCTGGCACCAGTGGCTCATGCCTATAATCCTAGCTACTCAGGAGGCTGAGATTTAAGGATTGTAGTTTGAAGCCAACCCAGACAGGAAAGTCCATGAAATTCTTACCTACAATTAACCACCAAAAGCAAGAAGTAAAGCTGTGGCTCAAGGAAAGAATGCTAGCTTTGAGCAAAAAAGTTCAGGAATAGAACATAGGCCCTGGGTTCAAGACCAAAGACCAGCACACACACACAAAATCCCAACACCCCTCTGTACAGTATTTTCACAATAAAAAAAAAGAAAAAAGAATTCCAACAGTGATGGGGCACACTTGTAATCCCAGTTTCTTGGGAGGATAAACCTTGGTGAGGTTCAAGGATAGACTTAGGTTGGTATCGTAAGATTGTAAAAAAAATAAATGAAAAGGGCTGGGAAGGTGGCTCAGTGGTAGAGTGCTTGCCTTGCATGCATGAGGCCCTGGGTTCGATTCCTCAGCACCACATAAGCAAAAAGAAAAAAGCCAGAAGTGGCGCTGTGGCTCAAGTGGTACAGCGCAAGCTGAAGAGCTGAGGGACAGTGCCCAGGCCCAGAGTTCAGGCCCCACGACTGGACCCAAAAAGAAAAAAAGAAAAGCCAAAAGATCTGTATATATGACTCAAGTGGTAGAAAGTTTATCTAGTAATTATGAGACCCTGAACTCAATCCTCAGTACTGCAAAATAAAAAAATAAAGCCACTTGGATTTTTTTTTTTTGGGGGGGTCCAGTCATGGGGCCTGAACTCTGGGCCTGGGCGTTGTCCCTCAGCTCTTCAGCTCAGACTAGCATTCTATCTCTTGAGCCACAGCGCCACTTCCGGCTTTTTTCTTTTTGCTTATGTGGTGCTGAGGAATCAAACCCAGGGCCTCAGGCATGCAAGGCAAGGGCTCTACTGAGCCACCTTCCTTCCCAACCCTGCCACTTGGATTTTTTTAGGAGCTATACTGCTTTTTGTTTTGTTTTGGTTTTTGTTGGTCATGGGGCTTGAACTCTGGGCTTGGGCGCTGTCCCTGCGCTTTCAGCTCAAGGCAAGCACTCTACCACTTGAGCCATAGTACCACTTCGGGCTGAGATATACTGTTCTGTCCAGAAATAATATTCATAAAGAGGCAGCAAAGAAGAGAGGACAGGAATGTGACAAGACTGGCAGAAATTGATAATCACTGAAACTGTGTGATGAGTATATGAAGATTCGTCGTTCTATCATTCAGTTTAGTTGATATTTCATTTTTCCATATTATAAAGTTAAATAAAAAGAAATCATGCCATAAAACTGGTTGTTTGAGGGGCTGGGAAGGTGGCTAAGTGGTAGAGCGCTTGCCTTGCACGCATGAGGCCCTGGGTTCGATTTCTCAGCACCACATAAGCTAGAAATGGCGCTGTGGCTTAGTTGTACAGCGCTAGCCTTGAGCTGAAGAGCTGATAGCACCAGGACCAGAGTTCAGGCCCCATGATCGATGCCACCCCCACACCACCACCCCCTGCCAAAAAAATACTTGCTGTTTGAGTTGGGCATTGGTGGCTCACGCCTGTAATCCTAGCTACTCAGGAGGCTGAGATCTGAGGATCGCGGTTCAAAGCCAGCCCAGACAGGAAAGTCCATGAGACTCCTATCTCCAATAAACCACTAGAAAAAACAGAAGTGGCGCTGTGGCTCAAGTGGTAAAGCGCTCGCCTTGAGCTGAAGAGCTGAGGGACAGCGCCCAGGCCCAGAGTTCAAGCCTCACGGCCGACCAAAAAAAAAAAAAAAAAAGGAAATGTACTTATTACCCAATTCATGAAACTGTAATCTCTCTGTATATTACCTTTATAATAACAATAAAGTAAATAACAGTGCCCAGGCCCTGAGTTAAAGCCTCAAGTTATGGCGCAAAAAGAAACAAGAAAAGAGCCAGGTGCCAGTGAGGAACAGCTCTTCAGGCCAAGAGTTCAAGCCCCACAAATGACAAAATAATAATAATAATAACGATAATAATAATATAAAAAAGAGCTAGGAACCAGTGGCTCATCCCTATACCTCTAGCTACTGAGGTGGTTGAGTTCTGGAGGATCCAGCCCAAGTAGTAAAGTCTGTAAGACTTTTTTTTTTTGCTTCTGGGGCTTGAACTCAGTACCTGAGTGCTGTCCCAGAGTCTCTTTGTACTCAAAGCTAGCACTCTACCACTTGAGCCACAACACCACTTCTGCCTTTTTCTGAGTAGCTTATTGGAGATAAGAGTCTCATGGACTTTTCTGCCTGGGATGGCTTTGAACCATGATACTCAGATCTTAGCCTCCTTAGTAACTAGGATTACAGGCATGAGCCACCAGTGCCCAGCTTGCAAGACTCTGATCTCTAATTAACAAACAAAATATGCTTTAAGTGCCCCAAATCATTCCATATGGAGAAAACCACACACAGAAGTCCCTACTCAGAGAACATACACACACTGAAAAACACAAAAGGGAATTGAATGCGTCTTCTCTAGACATGACCTTCCTAGTCTTACCATGTTTCTCGGCTTTAAGGTACTTGCTCCTCATCTCCTGTTGTTGGTAAACATAAGTTCTCCAGTTCTGGAACATCAAATTGTACAAGTAATATCTGAGGAGCAAAAAGAGCAAACAGCTTTCATTAAAACAACAAAACTAGTCCAGCATACCCATATTTTTTATTGTCAGTCGTGGGGATTGAACTCTGGGCTTGGGCGCTGTCCCTGCACTCTTCAGCTCAAGGTGAGCATTCTATTGCTTGAGCCACGGCACCACTTCCAGTTTTCTAGTGGTTTACTGGAGGTAAGGGTCTCATGGACTTTTTTGCCAGGGCTGGCTTTGAACTGCCATCCTCAGATCTCAGCCTCCTGAGTAGCTAGGATTACAGGAGTAAGCCATCGGCACCCAGTTAACCCAGATTTTCCTATACCTAGAATAATTAATATGGGGGCTGGGAAGGTAGCTCAGCGGTAGAGTGCATGCCTTGCAAGCATGAGGCCCTGGGTTCAATTCCTCAGCACCACATAAACAGAAAAAGCTGGAAGTGGTGCTGTGGCTCCATTGGTAGAGCGCTAGCCTTGAGCTGAAGAGCTGAGGGACAGTGCCCAGGCCCAGAGTTCAGGCCCCATGACCGGCAAAAAAAAAAAAAAAAAAGAATAATTAATATGGAAGCTTCTTCCACAAAACAGCCTCCTCAATACTTGTGCTCAAAAATTTCACTTCCTACAGACACTCTGAAACCTATTCACCTTAAAGACGAAGCTGCTCCACACTTCAAAATATCACTGAAGTCAAAACACCTGACATGTCCAAGATTAACTCATTTTCAGCATTCATAAAGCTAGGACATTTGCAAGGACAGTTCCATCTTCATCATCTGGCTAATGTACACTACATACAACTTACTTCTTTACACTTAAATATGTCAAAGGCACATTTTCCTTTTTCTTCTTGATATGGATACCATTAACCTCATCCTTCCATATTAGCATTACCCCACTTTCTGTGACTGGAATTCATACTCTACTAGCTTACTGGAATTATTCAGCATGCCTATTGTTTTTTAATCTGAAATAGCCATAAATCAGAACTCCTGCTCCCAAAGATCTAAACAGAGACTTTAATGAAAGTAAATACCACATTAAAGGCACAAAAATATACTGGAACTGGTGACTCAGATCTGTCATCCTAGCTACTCAGGAGGTTGAGAACTAGAGAATCAAGGTTCAAAGCTACTATGAGCAGAAAAGTTTATGAGAGATGGGCTGGGAAGGTGGCTCAGTGGTAGAGCGCTTGCCTTGCATGCCTGAAGCCCTGGGTTCGATTCCCCAGCACCACATAAGCAAAAAGAAAAAAGCCAGAAGTGGTGCTGTGACTCAAGTGGTAGAGCGCTAACCTTGAGCTGAAGAGCTGAGGGACAGTGCCCAGGCCCAGAGTTCAGGCCCCACGACCCAAAAAAAAAAAAAAAGTCTATGAGAGACTGTCTCCAAAATAACCAGTAAAAAGCCAGCTGTAGGCCTGGCTAAAGTGGTTGTACACCAGATTTAAGCATGAGAGCTGAGCAAGTGCAAGTCCTTGAATTTTATTTTATTTATTTATTTTTGGGTCAGGTTGTAGAGCCTGAACTCTGGGCCTGGGCGCTGTCCCTCAGCTCAAGGCTAGCGCTCTACCACTTGAGCCACAGCGCCACTTCCGGCTTTTTTCTTTTTGCTTATGTGGTGCAGAGGAATCGAACCCAGGGCATCAGGCACGCAAAGCAAGTGCTTTACCACTGAGCTACCTTCCCAGCCCCTTGAATTTTATTTTAAAAATAACAACAAAGTATTTAAAACTATAATAATGCAGATTTTATATAGTTCCATTGTTTTCTCTACTTATCCCTAAGAAAGTGAGTGCTAAGGATTAAATGATTTTCTTTCTTTCTTTTTTTGTGCTGGTGCAGGGGCCTGAACTCAGTGCCTGGACACCGTTACTCAGGTTTTTTTCTCAAGGTTCACAGTCTACCACTTGTGCCACAGCTCTACTTCTGTTTCTTTTTTTTTTTTTTTTTTTTGCGGGGGAAGGTTAACTGAAGATAAATAGTCTCATGAACTTCCCTTCCCAGGCTGGCTTTGAACTTCAATCCTCAGATTTCAGCCTCATGAGTAGCTAGGATTACACTTTTGAGCCACTGGCTCCTGACTCCTATAATATTTTCTGTTGCTGGTGATCATGGAGCCTGAACTCTGGGCCTGGGCACTGTCCCTTAGCTCTTGTTTTGTTTTTTTTTTTTTGGTTGGTCATGGGGCCTGAACTCTGGGCCTGGGCGCTGTCCCTCAGCTCTTCAGCTCAACACTATCACTCTACTACTTGAGCCACAGCACCACTTCCAGCTTTTTCTGCTGATGCGGTGCTGAGGAATCAAACCTGGGGCCTCATGCATGTGAGGCAAGCATTCTACAAATGAGCCACATTCCCAGCCCTGTCCCTTAGCTCTTCAGTTCAAGGTTAGTACTCTACCACTTGAGCCAAGCACCACTTCTGGCTTTTTCTGCTTATGTGGTGTTGAGGAACCAAAACCAAGGCCTCATGCATGCAATGCAAGCACGCTACCACTAAGCCACCTTTCCAGCCCCTCCTACAATATTCTTCACAGACTGAACAGAATGATAAATGAGGCCTCTGGTAGGATAGGTCCTGCATGGAGGAGGAGGTGTCCACTGTGAAACCTAGAGAATCCCCTGTATAATGTTCCTCAGCAATGTCATCTCCAACACTTGTATCCAACAGCAGGAAACATGGAAGGTTGTTGTCTGTTGCAGCCCTAGCTATCAGGTAGGAACAATGTTCAGTGGTTCTTTGTCTGGGTAGGACCATCCAGACAGGCCACCTAGATCCATCATCAGACCAGGTAGAATATGATGGAGCTGCAGGCCAGCAGGCAGAGGGACCAACTCACTCCTCTGCAGAGCTATTGGAGTCAGCATATCATGAAGCTGCTAAAAGGTAAGGATGTGCATAGGGCTCTTTTTGCTGGCTAATTGGAGTCTCACAGGCTTTCCTGAAAGGGCTAGCTTCAAACCACAATCCTCAGATCTCAGTCTCTTGAGTAGCCAGGATTTATAGGCATGAGTCACCAACGCTCAATGGATTAAGAGATTTTTAAAAATTTCTTTCCCTTTTTTCCCCTTTTGAGGTGCTGGGGATTAAATACAGTCCCAGAGACTCATTTGGCCATTCAGCTATACCCCAGACTTCCTATTTTCCTGATGTCCTAATTTGGGCATATTCTTTTTTCCATGGTCAATGTAAAAGCTACTATTAAAAAAATTAAACAAACAACACTTTCAGAATTTTAAAGTATATATAATTAGTGAGAAAACCTCATTCAAATCCTAAGTATGACCAATACAACACAATGATTACATGAATCAGAAGGAGGGTCCATGTGTGCCTGCACAGGTGTATGTAAACTTGGGTTTAATATATAAATCTACATTAGCTTACTATAAAAAGGATTTGAAGGAACATAGAAAGTGATTCAAAACTCTGCTCCTTTAAGCTGGGCGCTGGTGGCTCACACCTGCAATCCTAGCTACTCAGGATGCTCAGATCTGAGAATCGAAATTTGAAGCCAGCCAGGGCAGAAATGTCATGAGACTCTGAGCTCCAATTAATCACAGAAAAAGCTGGAAGTGGAGCTGTAGCTATAGTGGGGTAGAGTACTAGTAAGTCTTGAGCAAAAGGAGCTTAAGGATAGCACCTAGGTCCAGAGTTCAAGGCTGAGGACCAGGGAAAACAAGGAAAACAAAACAAAACAAAACAAAACTTTGCTCCGTTTAACCCAGGAAGGTGTCAACAAGTAATTATCTGGTCTTTTAAACAAAAGCTATACTTGAAAAAGTGTGAAATTGAAGCGACGGAACACAAAATCTGACCTGTAGTGACAGTCTGCTCGAACACAGAGTTTCCATTCTCGCTGAGAAATCCACCATTCTTCTTTCCATTCTCCAAAGACTTTCCGTAGCATTCTCTGCTCATGGTAAAACCTACCGCAGTGGAGAAAGTCATCAAGAGTTGTGTTATCATGAAGCCAAAATTGACCACTTTCCATACCAGTCCCACATTCCCACTGCCTTCTCAATGTGACATAACACCAAAAGTTTTTTTTTTTCTTCTTCTTCTTCTTTTTTTTTTTTTTTTTTGCTAGTACTGAGGTTTAAATTCTGTCCCTCAAGCTTTCACTTGAATTTTCCACTCAAGGCTGGCACTCTACCACTCAATCCACAGTTCCACTTCTGGCTTTTTGCTGATGAACTGGAAAAAAAATCTTGAGGATATCTGTGCCTGAGCTGAGCTACTCAGGAGACTGAGATTCATCCAAAGGACTATGCTTCAACACCAGCCTGGGAAGAAAATTCTGGGGTACTCCCATCTCTAAAATAACCAGCAAAAATCTAGGGGTGGGACTCAAGGGCTACACTGTAGCTCAGCAAGCAATCAGAGTAAGTACAAGGCCCCGAGTTCAAATCCTAGTACCTCGATTTTAAAAGGAGGGGGAGGGGCTGGGAAGGTGGCTCAGTGTTAGAGCGCTTGCCTTGCATACATGAGGCCCTGGGTTCGATTCCTCAGCACCACATAAGAAAAAAGAAAAAAGCCGTAAGTGGCGCTGTGGCTCAAGTGGTAGAGTGCTAGCCTTGAGCTGAAGAGCTGAGGGACAGCACCCAGGCCCAGAGTTCAGGCCCCATGACCGGACCCCCCCCAAAAAAAAGGCTCATGTAGGCCTGGGAAGGTGGCTCAGTGGTAGAGTGCTTGCCTGGCATGCATGAGGCCCTGGGTTCGATTCCTCAGCACCACATAAGCAGAAAGAAAAAAAAAAAAGGAAGGGGAGGTAGGTTCAAATGGGTCACAGTTGTAATTCTATCTAATCAATAGACTGAGATCTAAGAATCAGTTTGAAGCAAGAAAATCCATGAGTTTTTTGTTTGTTTTTTGGCCAGTCCTGGGGCTTGAACTCAAGGCCTGGGCATTGTTGCTGAGCTTCTTTTGCTCAAGTCTAGCACTCTACCACTTGAGCCACAGAGCCACTTCCAGCCTTTTCTGTTTACATGGTACTGAGGAATCAAACCCAGGGCTTCATGCACATTAGGCAAGCACTTTACCACTAAGCCACATTCCCAGCCCAAGAGACTCTTCTCTCCAATTAACTACTCAGAAAATGCCAAAGTAGATTTGTGGCTCAAGTGGTAGAATACTAGCCTTGAGGGAAAAAATGCTAAGGGACAATGCCCAAGCCCTGAGTTCAAGCTGCAGCACTGGCACAAAAAAAGTGAGAATAGCTTCTTAAAGATGGAAATGATAGGTGGGTACCAGTAACTCATCCCTGTAATCCTAGTCACTCAAGAGGCTAAGATCTGAGGATCATAGTTCAAAGATAGCCTGGAAAGGAAAGTACGTGAGACTCTTTATCTCCAATTAAGCCCCAAAAAGCTGGAAGTGGAGCTGAAGTGAAAGAACACTAGCCCCAAGCAAAGAAATGAAGCTCAGTGTCCAGGCTCTGAGTTCAAACACACACACACACACACACAAAGATGGAAATGATAGTGCTACAGTTTGAACAAATGTCCCCAAAAGGCATGTGCTGAAGGCTTCATCACCTGCCTGTGGCACTACTGGAACTCTAAAGGTGGGTCCCAATGGCAGGAAGTTAGGTCACTGGAGGCCTATACTTAAAAGGGGACTCTAACCTCTTCTAGTCTCCCTTGCATCTTAGCCACCAGGAGGAAAGGAAAAGCAGTTTCTCCACTATGTACTCCTAAAGCCGGAGTCAACCAATCAGAGACTGAAACTGGGTCTCCAAATAAACATCTTTGTAAATGTCAATCTCAGGTGTTTTGTTACAGTGACAGAAAGCTGATTAATACGGATAGTCTAATGCTTCTTAAGGATCAAGAAAGAAGTTTAATTCACTGTTGACTGAATATCTGGTGATCCTGATGAACCATTCAAATGGAACGATCAGTGGCATCAAAAGTCCTGTGAATGAATTTAGGACTTTAAGAAGGGGTATTGGAGTGGAGTGCTGGTGGCTGGCTTTAGCTACTCTGGGGGCTGAGATCTGAAGATCACGGTTCAAAGCCAGCCCAGGGAGGAAGTCCATGAGACTTTTTTTTTTTTCTGTTGTGAGGCTTGAATTCTGGGCCTGGGCACTCTGTCCCTCAGCTCTTCAGCTCAAGGCAAGTGCTCTATCACTTGAGCCACAGTGCCACTTCCAGTTTTCTGATGGTTCATTGGAGATAAGTCTTATGGACTTGCCTCCCAGGGCTGGCTTTGAACCTTTGTCCTCAGATCCTAGCCTCCTGAGTAGCTCAGGAGGTGTGAGCTCCTGAGAGTCTTATCTCCAATTAATCATTGAAAACGCCACAGGTGGCCCTGTGTATCAAGTGACAGAGGGCTAGCCTTGAGCAAAAGGAGCTCAGGGACAGCACCCAGGCTGAGTTCAAGACTCAGGACCAGCAAAAAAAAAAAAAAAAAGAGAGAGAGCAAGCAAAATAACAGACCTAAAAAGAAAACATCCCTAAAAATAGAGCCACGGAACTGACAAAACATAACTATCTCCAACAACCTAAAGAATTTTAAAATGAGGGACAGGGAAGGTGGCTCAGTGGTAGAGCGCTTGCCTTGCATGCATGAGGCCCTGGGTTCAATTCCTCAGCACCACATAAGAAAAACAAAGCCGGAAGTGGCGCTGTGGCTCAACTGGTAGAGTGCTAGCCTTGAGCTGAAGAGCTGAGGGACAGTGCCCAGGCCCAGAGTTCAGGCCCCACGATCGGACCCAAAAAAAAAAAATTTTTTTTAATGATCAATATACCTAAACATATCATATTAAAACTCCTAGCTGCTGGGCGCTAGTGGCCCATGCCTGTAATCCTAGCTATTTTGGAGACTGAGATCTAAGGACAGTAAATATATACACAAACATCCCCCTGCAAAAAATACACACACACAAACACACTTTTAGCTACTAGGTGCTTGTGGCTCATTCCTGTAATCCTACTCAAGAGGCTAAGATCTGAGGGTCATGGCTTGAAATCATCCAGGGTAGGAAAGTCCATGAGACTCTTTCTCTACAATTAAACACCAAAAGAGTTGGAAGTGGAGCTGTGGCACAAGTGGCAATGTGTTAACCTTGAGCACAAAAATTCAAGGACAATGCCCAGGCTCTTTGTTCAAAGCCCCACAACTTGTACCAAAAAGCCAAAAAGTGGCTCACGCCTATAATCCTAACTACTCAGGAGGCTGAGATCTGAAGACTGCAGTTCAAAGCCAGCCCGGGCAGGAAAGTCTGTGAGACTCATCTCCAATTAACCACCAGAAACCCAGAAGTGGAGCTATGGCTCAAGTGCCAGAGCGCTCACCTTGAGCTGAAGAGCTGAGGGATAGCGCGCAGGCCCCAGAGTTCAAACCCCACAACTGACAACAACAAAAAAATTCCGCCGGGTGGGCACAGGTGGCTCACGCCTGTAATCCTAACTACTCAGGAGGCTGAGATCTAAGGATCTCAGTTCAAAGCCAGCCCAGGCAGGAAAGTCCAAGAGACTCTTATCTCCAATAAACCACTAGAAAACCGGAAGTGGAGCTGTAGCTCAAGCGGTAGAGCACTCGCCTTGATCTGAAGAATGCAGGGACACAGTTCAAGCCTCATGACCGACCAAAAAAAATTCCTTCCTAGATGGCTGCCAGCAGCTCATGTCTGTTTAATATCCTAGATAGGGGAGGCTGAGATCAAGATGATTACAGTTCCAGACCAGCACAGGCAAAATAGTTCAAGAGATCCCACCTAAACAGAAAAAGCCAGGCATGGTAAGGCACACATACCATCTCAACTATGGCAGGAAGTATAAGTAGAAGGATTACAATCCATGCTGGCCCAAAGCTAAGAATCCACAGGGAGCAATGTTAACATCTGTCACAGTAAATGTTGTGCGGCTTAATATTAAACAAAAACTTAATGAACAAGCAAGGCAGAAGTCAAATCTGATGTTCTGAGCTAATATTACCTGGCTTTAGAGGGAAATACTCTTCCAAAAGTCATTCGAATCCACAAATACAAAAACTTCCTGGCCACACATCTGAAAAAAAGAAAATAATATAAACATTTTAAGCTGATTGATTTAGCTCATAGAAGTTTTGGATTTTTTTGGAAAGGAGTGGGAACCATTAAGGTTTCAGGGAGAAAGATACTAGTATAAATCTAGAGGTGATATTATAGTTAACCCTGTACCAAACACAGAGCACAGAAGTCAGGTGTTGGTGGCTCATGCCTGTAATCCTAGCTAGTCAGGAGGCTGAGATCTGAGGATTTCAGTTCCAAGACAGTCCAGGCAAGAAAGTCTATGAGACACAAATCTCCAAGTAACCACCAGAAAAGCAGAAGTGGAACTATGGCTTAAACTGGTAGAGCACTAGCCTTAAGCTGAAAAGCTCTGGGACAGCTCCTAGGCCCTGAGTTCAAGCCCCACAACCACCACCATCAAAACAAAACAACAACAACAAAAAAAAAACAGAGCATAGAAGAGGACAAATTTATAAAGCTTAAGTCACTGGGGGTATGGCTCTACTCAAAAAGTACTTGCCTAGCCGGGCGCTGGTGGCTCACGCCTGTAATCCTAGCTACTCAGGAGGCTGAGATCTGAGGATGGCGGTTCAAAGCCAGCCCGGGCAGGAGAGACCGTGAGACTCCTATCTCCAATAAACCACCAGAAAACCGGAAGTGGCGCTGTAGCTCAAGTGGTAGAGTGCTCGCCTTGAGCTGAAGAGCTGAGGGACAGCGCCCAGGCCCAGAGTTCAAGCCCCACGACCAACAAAAAAAAAAAAAAAGTACTTGCCTAGCAAGGATGAGGCCCTGAGTTCAAATCACAAACTTAAAAGAAAAAAATAAGCTGGGGGGGTTGGGAAGGTGGCTTGTGGTAGAATGCTTGCCTAGCATGCATGAAGCCCTGGATTCAACTCCTCACTACCACATACACAGAAAAAGCTAGAAGTGACACTGTGGCTCAAGTGGTAGAGTGCTAGCCTTAAGCAAAAGAAGCTCAGGGACAGTGCCTAGGCCTTGAGTTCAAGTCCCAGGACTGGAACAAAAAAAAAAATTAAAATAATCTGGGCACTGGTGATTCACACCTGTAATCCTAACTACTCAGGAGGCTGAGATCTGAGGATTGTGGTTCAAAGCCAGCCCAGGCAGGAAAGTCTGTGAGACTCTTATCTTCAATTAACCACCAGAAAACCGGAAGTGGCGCTGTAGCTCAAGTGGTAGAGTGCTCGCCTTGAGCTGAAGAGCTGAGGGACAGCGCCCAGGCCCAGAGTTCAAGCCCCACGACCAACAAAAAAAAAAAAAAAGTACTTGCCTAGCAAGGATGAGGCCCTGAGTTCAAATCACAAACTTAAAAGAAAAAAATAAGCTGGGGGGGTTGGGAAGGTGGCTTGTGGTAGAATGCTTGCCTAGCATGCATGAAGCCCTGGATTCAACTCCTCACTACCACATACACAGAAAAAGCTAGAAGTGACACTGTGGCTCAAGTGGTAGAGTGCTAGCCTTAAGCAAAAGAAGCTCAGGGACAGTGCCTAGGCCTTGAGTTCAAGTCCCAGGACTGGAACAAAAAAAAAAATTAAAATAATCTGGGCACTGGTGATTCACACCTGTAATCCTAACTACTCAGGAGGCTGAGATCTGAGGATTGTGGTTCAAAGCCAGCCCAGGCAGGAAAGTCTGTGAGACTCTTATCTCCAATTAACCACCAGAAAACCAGAAGTGGCACTGTGGCTCAAGTGATAGAATGCTAGGCATGAGTTGAAGAGCTCAGGGACAGGGTCCAAGCCCAGAGTTAAAGTCCCAGGACCAACAACAACAAAGACATTTTGTCAACAGAGACTTCAGATTAAGGAAGTACAAGAGAGTATTTTTTCATATTTCTCTTCCAGGCTAAAATATATAGCAACTATCCCTTAACATGGACCTTCCTCTTCTGTGTACTCTTCTATGTGTTATTCAAACCTACATGTAACATTGTCACACAACAGCCACTGGCTCTGCATTGTAAACCTGAGTGAGGATGCGTTTCTTTCATTGTTCCCAGTACCTAGCACAGTGCCTAGCTCACGCACGTGTGTGTGTGTGTGCGCGGACACACACACACACAAAGTTGCTTTGCTGTATCAATCTCTGGGCTCAGCTTGGACTTCCTACTGCCCTTTGGGTAGCTTAATCTGACATTATCTTCAGAATCAGATAATTGTATAGGGCACAATTAAAAAACATGAACAAGCTGGCATCAGTGGCTCATCCCTGTAATCCTAGCTACTCCAGAGGCTGCGAACTGAAGACAAGTTTAAAGCCGGTACTGGCAGGATGTTCATGAGACTCCTATTTCCAATTAACTGACAGAGGGGCTGGGAAGGTGGTTCAGTGGTAGAGTGCTTGCCTTGCATGCATGAGGCCCTGGGTTTGATTCCTCAGCACCACATAAGCAGAAAAAGCTGGAAATAGCACTGTCGCAAAAGTGGTATATGGCCCTAGCCTTCAGTAGAAGAGCTTAAGGACATCGCCTAGGCCCAGAGTTCAGGCCCCATGGCCCGCCAAAAACAAGACAAAAAACCAATTAACCGACAGAAAACCAGAAGTGGTTCTGTGGCTCAAAATGGTAGAGCACTAGCCTTGAGCAAAAAAGCTCAGGGACAGCATTTAGGCCCTGAGTTCAAGCTCCTGGATTGGCAAAAAAAGAAGAATAATGAAAACACTTTATAACAGACTTAATGTCTATAGATTTCTAAATACGTTTCTCTTTTTTTTTTTGTGCCAGTCCTGGACACTGTCTCTGAGCTTTTATTTGTTTTGTTTTATTTGATCAGTTGTGGGACTTGAACTCTGGGCCTGGGTGCTGTCTCAGTTCTTCAGCTCAAGGCTAGCACTCTACCAGTTGAGCCACAGTGCCACTTGAAGCTTTTTTGTGAAGTTTATTGGAGATGAGTCTCTCCAGGACTTTTTGCCCAGGCTGGCTTCAAACTGCGATCCTCAGATCTCAGCCTCATGAGTAGGTAGGATAATAGGCATGAGCCACTGGCATATCTGGCTTAAATATCTATCTATCTATCTATCTAGTCTTTTCTTTTTTGGTACTGGGGATTGAACCCAGGACATTGCACTTGCTAGGCAAGTGCTTTGTCACTGAGCTATATCCCAGCCCCATATATATATATATATATATATATATATATATATATATATATTTTTTTTTTTTTTTTTTTTTTTTTTTTTTTTGGGTGGGTTGTGGGACTTAAACTCTGTGCCTGTGAGCTGTCCCTAGGCTCTTCAGCTCAAAGTGACTGCTTTATAGCTTAAGCCACAGTGCCATTTCCGGTTTTCTGGTGCTTAACTGGAGATAAGAGTCTCAAGGACTTTCTTGTCCAGGCTGGCTTTGAACTGTGATCCTCAGATCTCAGCCCCTGTGTGGCTAGGATTACAGGCATGAGTCACCAGTGCCCAGCTAAATATATTTTTTAATCTGAACATTCCATTATGAAAAATGAGCTTCAAGTTTTCCAATGAGCTGACCTAAGTAAACAAGAATCATTCCCTCATTTGAGCCAAGAAGAAAGAACAGAGTGAAGTCCTCACAGGAAGGCGGCCAGCCACTCATAAACTCACCTGACGCGCAATTCTCTTAATCGGCCCTGTTTGGTCCAGGTGCGCAAGGTGGTATACTGTGCTAGATGACTGGGTCGAGGTAACTGCCTCCGGGTCCCAGAACTGAGAGAAGACTTCTTAGAAGACAATACCTTTGGAGAGAAAGGTTTTCTAACCATACCATCCCTAAAAGACATTAAATTTAAGAAGGAAAAGTGAGAGTAAAAATTATCTCAGCATATGTAATACTAATTCAAACAACATTTTTTTTTTTTTTTGGTCAGTCATGGGACAAACTCAGAACATGGGCACTATCCCTGAGTTCTTTTGCTCAATGCTAGCACTCTAGCCACAGTGCCACTTCTGGTTTTTGAGTGGTTTGGAGATAAGAGTCTCACAGGGACTTTCCTGCCAGGACTGGCTTCAAACTGAGATCCTCAGATTTCAGCCTCCTGAGTATCTAGGACTACAGGTATGAGCCACCAGTGGCCAGCACACAACATTTTTTTGTTTTTTGGGTCCAGTCATGGGGTCTGAACTCTGGGCCTGGGCACTATCCCTCAGCTCTTCAGCTCAAGGCTAGCGCTCTACCACTTGAGCCACAGAGCCACTTCCATTTTTTTTCTTTTTATGTGGTGCTGAGGAATCGAACCCAGGGCCTCAGGCATGCAAGGCAAGAGCTCTACCACTGAGCCACCTTCCCAGCCCAATTCCACAACATTTTTAATATACAAACTACATCATAGTCTATTGAGACTGCCTTACTAAACAGTGAGCAGCCTGATCTCAAACAGAACTCTCTGCCGGCCAGTAAAAGTGGATACAGGAAGTACAGAGCAAGAGGGTATATTAGAGTGACTAGGACTAATTAAAACATTAGTTTTCTCTCTTGCTCCCTATTGGAAAGACTGAGGTTTAAAAAAAAAACTTTTTTTTTTTTGGTCCAATCATGGGGTCTGAACTCTGAGCCTGGGCGCTGTCCCTCAGCTCTTCAGCTCAAGGCTAGCGCTCTACCACTTGAGCCCCAGCGCCACTTCCGGCTTTTTTCTCTTTTTGCTTAGGTGGTGCTGAGGAATCGAACCCAGGGATTCAGGCATGCAAGGCAAGCGCTCTATCACTGAGCCACCTTCCCAGCCCTGAGGTTCAAATTTTTAAAAAAATAATAATTAAATTCTCTGTTCCCTGATACAGGGAATTTAATATCTGAGTCTTGTCTGTTCATTGTTTCTATGAAGTTATCTTGTACCATCTAAAGAAACCAAACCCAAACTCAAGTAAGCCTCTAGATCCAATAATTAATTAGCAGAAGGAAAAAACAGGCATAGTAGCTCATACTTGTAATCCCAGCTATTCAGGAGGCTCCAAAGATAGAGGCTAGAATGGGTAACTGAGTAAGACTATCAGAATAAAAGGAAAATACACTGGGAATATAGCTCAATGATAAGAGCACTTATGAACAAGGCCCGAGGTTCAATTCCAGGAACTAGAAAACAAAAAAATGCTGAAGAAAATCTTAAGAATGAACAAGACCCTGGATTCAATCCTAGGTATTGGAGGAAAAAAAGCTGAAGAAAAATGTAAGAGGATAGAAGCCATATTAAAATATACCATAGAGGGGCTGGGAAGGTTGCTCAGTGGTAAAGCGCTTTCCTTGCATGCATGAGGCCCTGGGTTTGATTCCTCAGCACCACATAAGCAAAAAGAAAAAAGCGGGAAGTAGTGCTGTGGCTCAAGTGGTAGAGCTCTAGTCTTGAGCTGAAGAGCTGAGGAACAGTGCCCCGGCCCAGAGTTCAGGCCCCACAACCGGACCCAAAAAAAAATAAAAATAAATATAAATATACCATAGAGCACCAAGTGTAGTGGCACAGACCTTAATCCCAAAGTATTTACAGAACTTTATATGGGCCATAATTTCAGTTATTTTGTTATGTCCCATTACTAACCTGAAGTCGGCTTTCTTCTCCATCCTTTGCTTAACTCTTTTGATAGATATTCAACCAATAGCTTGAGATTGTTGATCAAATGTATTTTTTTTAAATCTTCCTCTTCTAACTACAAGAAAAATAAAGTTAGACTAATTATTTTAAAAGTCAAGAAAGAGGGCTGGGAAGGTGGCTCAGTGGTAGAGTGCTTGCCTTGCATGCCTGAGGCCCTGGGTTTGATTCCTCAGCACCACATAAGCAAAAAGAAAAAAGCCGGAAGTGGCGCTGTGGCTCAAGTGGTAGAGCGCTAGCCTTGAGCTGAAGAGCTGAGGGACAGCGCCCAGGCCCAGAGTTCAGGCCCCATGACGGGATGCCCCCCCCCCCAAAAAAAAAAAAAAAAAAAACTCAAGAAAGTCTGGAGCCACATTTCTAAATACCTACTTGTCAACTCCCAATCTCCTTTCCTCCTCCCCTTTTTTCTTTCTATTGTTCTAAAGTTGATGAACAGAGGGGTTCCTGTTTCCTAAGTTGGGTAACAAGTACTTTTCTTTTTGGACAATGTCACTCTTTCTTTCATTCTCTCCCAGTTTACTTACACACACACACACACACACACACACACACACACACACACACACACAGTTGTACAGCTCATTTTTCTCTAAATAACGTTTTTTTATTGTAAAAATAGTGTACTATAGTTCATTTTCTTTTCTGGGGGGAGGGGGATCCGGTTGTGGGGCCTGAACTCTGGGCCTGGGCGCTGTCCCTCAGCTCTTCAGCTCAAGGCTAGTGCTCTACCACTTGAGCCACAGCACCCCTTCCGGCTTTTTTCTTTTTGCTTATGTGGTGCGGAGGAATCGATCCCAGGGCCTCATGCATGCAAGGCAAGCGCTCCACTGCTGAGCCACCTTCCCAGCCCTATAGTTCATTTTCAACCTAGGTTATACTGAGTACCATTGCTGCATTTGTTTGCCCTATGTCCTGTTTTTTTTTTTTTTGGTTGGTTGTGGGGCTTGAACCTTGGGCCTGGGTACTGTCTCTCAGCTATTCAGCTCAAAGCTAGTGCTCTACCACTTTGAGTCACAGCTCCACTTCTGGTTTTCTGGTGGTTTATTGGAGGAAGAGTCTCATGGACTTTCTTGCCTGGGCTGGCTTTGAACCGCAATCCTCAGGTTTCAGCCTCCTGAGTAGCTAGGAGTACAGGTGTGAATCACTGGTGCCCCGCTATGTCCCTCCATTTTTCTGCTCCCCTTTACTCCCCAAAGACAGAAAAAGGAAAACAAGATGGGGGGGGGGGAAGGAAAGAAGAAAGGAGGGGTAGGAGGAAGGGTGGGAGGAGGGGAAAGGAAAGGAAAGGAAAGGAAAAAGAAAGGAAAGCTGGGCACTGGTGGCTCATGACTATAATCTTAGCTACTCAGGAGATCTGAGGATCTTGGTTCAAAGCCAGCCCAGGTAAGAAAAGCCCCAATTAACCACTGGAAGTAATACCACAACTTGAGCAAAAGAGCTCAGGGACAGCACCTAGACCCTGAGTTCGAGCTCCACAACTGACCAAAAGAAAAACCAATCAGGGGCTGGGAAGGTGGCTCAGTGGTAGAGCGCTTGCCTTGCATGCATATGGCCCTGGGTTCGATTCCTCAGCACCACATAAGCAAAAAGAAAAAAAGCCAGAAGTGGTGCTGTGGCTCCAGTGGTAGAGCACTAGCCTTGAGCTGAAGAGCTGAGGGACAGCACCCAGGCCCAGAGTTCAGGCCCCATGACCAACCAAAAAAAAAAAAAAAAAAAATCAATCAATCAACCAAACAAACAACCCCTCATTTCCAATTCCTGGAGTTCATTCAGATAAATATCACACAATCAGAGGTGCTGAGGCATTGCAACTTTGTGTTCCTCCTGTAAAAGTGTCCTCCTTTAGTCTGTGTGTGAATCCCTAGAATATTGTATAATTCATCATGTATTTTAGATCTAGTTTTTGCATATGAGAGAAAGCATGAATGGTTTCTCTGAGCTTGGCTTACCTTACTAAACATGATTTCTTCTAGGTTTATGGGGCTGGGAAGGTGGCTCAGTGGTAGAGCGCTTGCCTTGCATGCATGAGGCCCTGGGTTCGATTCCTCAGCACCACATAAGCAAATAGAAAAAAGCCGTAAGTGGCGCTGTGGCTCAAGTGGTAGAGCGCTAGCCTTGAGCTAAAGAGCTGAGGGACAGTGCCCAGGCCCAGAGTTCATGCCCCATGACTGGACCCAAAAAAAAAAAAAAAAGGCTCACTAGGTTTATTCACTTCCCGAAAATGACATAATATTGTTTCTAATGACTGTGTAAATTTCCATTGTGTATGGGGACCATATTTTTTTTGGATCTACTCATCTACTGTAGGGCATCTGAGTTGTTTCTATAACTTGGTTATTGTGAATAGTATAGCAATAAACATGGATGTGCAAATTTTTTTTTTTTTTGGTCAGTTGTGGGGCCTGAACTCTGGGTCTAAGCACTGTTCCTCAGCTCTTCAGCTCAAGGCTAGCACTCTTCCACTTGAGCTACAGCACCACTTCCAGTTTTCTGGTGGTTTATTGGAGATAAAGAGTTTCACGGACCTTCCTGCCCGGGCTGGCTTTGAACCGTGATCCTCAGATCTCAGCCTCCTGAGTAGCTAGGATTACAGGCGTTAGCCACCATGCCCGGTGCAAATGTCTGTATGGTATCCTGGCTCGTGATATTCTGGGTAGATGGCCAGGAGTGATATGCCTGGGTGGTAAAGATCTCTGTTTATTTTTTTTTGAGGAACCTCCAGCCCTGTTATTGTGGTTATTTTGAAGATGGAGTCTAGAAAGCTTTCGTGCCCAGGCTGACTTCAAACAATAATCCTCCAGATCTCAGCCTCCTTGAATATCTAGAATTTTACAGGTATGAGTCAAGAACACTTGGCTCTAAAAGTTATTTTCTAACAAAAGAACCTCAAGAGGATGATTTTATCTTTCTTGCATTGTATTTAATGCATTTATAATGTACTCTGTGATTTTTCTTTTCTTTTTTTTTTTTTTTTTTGTTGGTCGTGGGGCTTGAACTCTGGGCCTGGGCGCTGTCCCTAAGCTCTTCAGCTCAAGGCTAGCGCTCTACCACTTGAGCCACAGCACCACTTCCAGTTTTCAGATGGTTTATTGGAGATAAGAATCTCACTGACTCTCCTACCCGGGCTGGTTTTGAATTGAGATCCTCAGATCACCAAGCCACATTCTCAGCCGCACCCTTCCCTCTTGAGCCACATCCCCAGCCTTTACTTTCAATTTATATATAACATCAGAATGAAGCATGGTTTTCTATGTTGTTTTGTTTTGTAGGTGCTGGGAATTGAAACCAAAGCTTCTTCTGAACAAGGCAAGTACTGTGTACTCTATTACTGAGTTATACCCCCAAGCATAGGGCTACTCTCTATTATACATGTTACATATTTTGGTGTGTGTACCAGAATTGGGCTTTGAATTCAAGGCCTGAGAACAGTCCCTTAGCTTTTTTTTTTTTTTTTTTTTGGTCCAGTTGTGGGGTTTGAACTCTGGGCCTGGGCGCTGGCCCTCAGCTCTTCAGCTCAAGGCTAGCGCTCTACCACTTGAGCCACAGCGCCACTTCCGGTTTTCTGGTGGTTTATTGGAGATAGGAGTCTCACGGTCTCTCCTGCCCGGGCTGGCTTTGAACCGCGATCCTCAGATCTCAGCCTCCTGAGTACCTAGGATTACAGGCGTGAGCCACCAGCGCCCGTAAAGCAATGTTAATTTGGAGGGGAAAAAATAATTTTAAAAAAGTGATCCAACCAAAGACTGAGGAAATTATGTGTATGTGTGTGTATATATATATATATATATACATATCTTTTAAATGTTTTATTTTATTGCTGGTACTGGGCCTGAATTCAAGACTTAGAGGCTCTCTCAGCTCTCTCCCCCCCTCCACACACACAGCCACAGCCACACCTCCACTGCCAGAAATTTCTTGTGTGGGGGGGTAGGGGACGCTCAACTGGGCAGCCTTGCTTGACACCACCAAGTATTATACACTCAGGTGGTCTGGAAATAACCACATACTCTAAAACATAGAGATGAGAAACCAAAATAACAAGGACCAAGTAACTGTCAGGCAGGCTGCAGGCTGAGCTCTTTTTCAAGAGTCAACAGGTCATCAGGTGGTCGGCATCTTCATTTTATAGATAAGATTGCTAAATGTCAACAGCTAGCAAGTGGAAGCGCTGGGACTGGTCCTCAAAGTCTGGTTCTACACATGTTAACTACTGGGGGGGGGGGGTGGCATAGTCACGTTCACCATGCTAGTTCCAGCACCCTGAACCCTGGGCCCGCCGGCGCCTTGCCCCACTAAGCACCGGGAGTCCCGATCCCCATCTGCGCACACTGAGGAGCCTAGCGTGCCCCAGAGAACCCGCAGAAAAACACGACGTCCCGCCGCGCGTGCGGGGGAACCAGGCAGGCGCGGGCCGCACGCGTCCTCGCGCGCGCTCGTCTCGCACGCAGATGCCCGCCGGGTCCGTCGGGATCCGCGTGGGGTCGGGAAGTGACACAAGAGGAAGCGGAAGCTCCCCCCCAGAGTCGTCACGGGGCCTACAGCTTGCGAATGCGGCCGGACTCACCAGCACTAGTGGCCAAACTCCCTCGTCCTCGTATCTGGGGGCAGCAGAGTCCGGCTCACGCCGCCGAGGACAAATCACGGGGAGCGCTCGAGAATCCAGAGCCTCCTCCAAGCCCTGACGCGGGCCTGGCTCGCCCTGGCACTTCGCGCGCGCCTCCGGACGCCGGCCACGCCCCCGTCTCCGTGGTAACGCGGCGCTAGCTAGAAGCCACGCCCCGGATCCTGGAGTTCGCGCAGCCTCAGTCGGGAAATGTGGTCCCGCCTCCCCATTACCCCCGTACAGTCAGAGCTCTGCGAGCCGGCCCGGAAGGCCAGTGGGTGCAAACGTCACTGTGGACTCACTCGAACGACTTTTCGCTTCCTGAGTCACTTCTCTCTGAGCTGCCTGGAGGCGGCTCCCGGAGTTGTGCGTCCCGCCAGACAGGCTTGTGGAGGTTCCGGTCCGGTAGATCCACGGAGGCCATCTCCACTCCAGTCTTTCCTGTGAGCCGTGTCTGGCTCTCAGTTTTCCGTGGAGTGCCAGCCAGAACCTTTGGGGTACCGTCTGTCCATGCGTGGACCAGGTTGTAGCGACCTGGAACTGGGAAGTGGAGCCCCCTCAGGTCAAGAATTAGAATTTTGTCAGGCTGGCCCTTTCATATTTATTAATACTAATAAGGGCTGGGAAGGTGGCTCAGTGGTAGAGTGCTTACTTTACATGCATGAGGCCCTGGGTTCGATTCCTCAGCACCACATAAGCAGAAAAAGCCGGAAGTGGTGCTATGGTAGAGCACTAGCCTTGAGCTGAAGAGCTGAGGCCCAGAGTTCAGGCCCCATGACCGACCAAATAAATAATAATAATAATGGGAGCTGGGATTTGCCTTAGTGTAGAGTGCTTGCCTAGTATGCTTGAAGCCCTGGGTTCGATTCCCTAGTAACACATAAACAGAAAAAAAAAACCTGAAGTGGTGCTGTGGCTCAAGTGGTAGAGTGCTAGCCCTGAACTAAAGAAGATCAGGGAGGAGATGGGAATGTATGTGGCTCAGTGGTAGAGTGCTTGCCTTGCATGCATGAGGCCCTGGGTTCAATTTCTCAGCACCATATAAGCAGAAAAAGCTGGAAGTGGCCTTGTGGTTCAAGTGGTAGAGCACTACTAGCCTTGAGCACAGAAAGACTCAGGGACAGTGCCCAGGCCCAGAGTTCAAACCCCATGACCTACCAAAAAAAAAAAAAAGTCAAGCGCTGGTGACTCAAGTCTGTAATCCTAGCAACTCAGGAGGCTGAGATCTAAATATCAAGTTCAAAGCCAGCCCAGACAGGAAAGTCCTTGAAACTCTTATTTCCAATTAACCAGAAGTGGTGCTGTGGCTCAAAGTGGTAGAACACTAGCCTTGAGCAGAAAAGCTCAGGGACAGTGCCCAAGGCCCAAGTTCAAGTCCCATGATCAACAAAAAGAAGAAAGTAAGAAAAACATTGGTGAGGGCTGGGAAGGTGGCTCAATGGTAGAATGCTTGCCTTGCATGCATGAGACATTGAGTTGGATATCTCAGCACCACATAAGCAGAAAAAGCCAGAAGTGGCGCTGTGGCTCAAGTGGTAAAGTGCTAGCCTTGAGCTGAAGAGCTGAAGGACAGCGCCCAGGCCCAGAGTTCAGGCCCACGACCAACCAAAAAAAAAAGAAGAAAAAAAAAAAAAAGTGAATGAGCTCAAGAAGAATATCTTAATTTATGTCTCCCCTGTGTTTTTAAGATTTCTGGATTGCAGAAACTAACATCATTGGGGCTGGGAAGATGGGTTAGTGGTAGAGTGCTTGCCTAGCATGCATGAAGCCCTGGGTTCAATTCCTCAGTACTACATAAACAGAAAAAGCTGGAAGTGGCACTATGGGTCAAGTGGTAGAGTGTTAGCCTTTAGCAAAAGAAGCTCAGGGACAGTGCCCAAAACCTGAGTATAAGCCCCAGGACTGGCAGGGGAAAAAGAAAGAAAGAAAAAAAAGAAACTAGCACCATTCAAATTCTTAAAACAGGAGGAAAAATAGTTGTTGGGTATCTAGGGATTCCAATCACTATTTTCATTTTACATGCATTATATGTTGTAACTAAGAAGATATGCTGGGCAATGGTGGCTCAGACCTGTAATATTAGCTACTTAGGAGGCTGAGATTTGAGGATCGTGGTTCAAAGCCAGCCCGGGCAGGAAAGTCTGTGAGATTCTTATCTCCAATAAACCACCAGAAAACTGGAAGTGGTGCTGTGGCTCAAGTGGTAGAGTGCTCACCTTGAGCTGAAGAGCTGAGGGACAGTGTCCAGGCCCAGAGTTCAAGCCCCATGACCAACAACAAAAAAAGATGTTCCTAGGGGCTGGGAATGTGGCTTAGTGGTAGAGGTAAAGTGCTTGCCTAGCATACACGAAGCCCTGGGTTTGATTCCTCAATACTGTCTAGACACAAAAGGCAAAATGGCACCATGACTCAAGTGGTAGAGTGCTAGTCTTGAGCAAAAAGAAGCTCAGGGACAGTGCCCAGGCCCTGAGTTCAGTCCCCAGGACTGGCAAAAAAGAAAAAGAAAAAGATATTCCCAGGTTATGAGGCTCATACCTGTAATCTCAGCTACGTGGGAGCCTGAGATCTGAAGATCATGGTTTGACGCCTGTCTAGGCAGTTAAGACTCTTACCTAAAATTAACCACCAAAAAGCCAGAAATGGAGCTATGGCTCAAGTAGTAGAGTGCTAGCCTTGAATAAAAGAAACTCAGGGTCAGCACATAGGCCCTGTCTACGTTAGACAAAATTTTTGGGAATACTTAAGTTGGAGGTGGGAGGAAAGTAGTTGTTTGGTTTTATTTTTTGTTTGTTTTTTGTCAGTCATGGGGCTTGAACTCTGGGCCTGGGTGCTGTCCCTCAGCTCTTCAGCTCAAGGCTAGCACTCTACCACTGAGCCACCTTCCCAGCCCAAGAAAGTAATTTTAAAATAACCTTATGCATTTTGTAGTCATAATACTATATCTTAGAGAATTTTTTTGGGGGGGTCCGGTTATGGGGCCTGAACTCTGGGCCTGGGCGCTGTCCCTCAGCTCTTCAGCTCAAGGCTAGCGCTCTACCACTTGAGCCACAGCGCCACTTCTGGCTTTTTTCTTTTTGCTTATGTGGTGCTGAGGAATCGAACCCAGGGTCTCATGCATGCAAGGCAAGCGCTCTACCACTGAGCCACCTTCCCAGCCTGAGAAATATTTTTATGTAAGTTATATAGACTTGATATTTAGAATGATAATCAGCATACTTTCTGATCTGATTGGCTTATTCTGTTATGCATTTATCAGACTCAGCTTTGACTTATTTGGGAAGATATGAAAGGTTTTGCCATATGAGTATAATGAAAAGAATTAGTCCTATCAGAAAAAAGAAATTAACAATATATAACTACTGGCAGCAACACTTGGTGTCAGACTCTATTCTAAGTATTCCCCTCAGGCCTCTAATCCTAGCTACTCAGGAAGCCAAGATCTAAGAATCGAGGTTCAAAACCATGTTGGTCTGGAAAATCTACAAAACTGTTATCTTTAATTAACCACTACAAAGCTAGAAGTGGAATTGTGGCTCAAGTGGTAGAGTGCTAGCCTTGAACGAAAATGCTGAGACAGCACCCAGGATCTGAATTCAAGCCCTAGTATGTATACACACACACACACACACACACACACACACACACACACACACACGTGTGGCATTTAAGGGTAAGCCCTGAAAATAATTTTCTGCAAGGTACTCAGAGAGGTCCCTTACTAATTTTCTTTTCTTTTTTTGCCAATCCTGGGGCTTGAACTCAGAGACCAAGCACTGGCCCTCAGCTTTTTGGCTCAAGGCTAACACTCTACCACATGATCCACAGCACCACTTCTGCCTTTTTCAGTATATGTGTTACTGAGGAGTCAGTCCCTCATGCAGGTGAGGTAAGCACTCTACCACTAAGCCATATTCCCAGCCCTCCCTTACTAATTTTTGTATTTAATCTGAGAAAATAAGATGACAACTGTAAAACTTCTCAAATCCCAGTAGGTTGGAACTAGGGATTATCCTTGAAGCAAGACAAACTGAGTTGGAACGATCCTTTTAGAAAAATGTAATCATGGGGTTGGGAAGGTGGCTCAGTGGTAGAGTGCTTGCCTTGCATGCATGAGGCCCTGGGTTCGATTCCTTAGCACCACATAAGTAGAAAAAGCCAGAAGTGGCGCTGTGGATCAAATGGTACAGTGCTAGCCTTGATCTGAAGAGCTGAGGGACAGCGCCCAGGCCCAGAGTTTAGGGCCCAGGACCGGCAAAAAAAGAAAAAAAAAAAATGTAATCACAGCCAACTAAGATTAGGCTGCTATAGGTATAGGCCTGGGAGCAAAAGCTCATACGTGTTCTGGTTAATTTCTAGGTTGTTTGTAATATTTACATGTTCTTCTCTATGATTTTTTTTTTTGCCAGTCATGGGGCTTGAACAGGGGCTAGGCACTATCCCTGAGCTTCTTTTGCTCAAGACTAGTACTCTATCACTTGAGCCACAGCACCATGTTTGGCTTTTTTCTGTTTATGTGGTACTGAGGAATCGAATCCAGGGCTTCATGTGTACTAGGCAAGCACTCTACCACTAAGCCACATTCCCAGCCCTCTCTAGGATTTTTTTTTTTTTTTTGGTCTGTTCGTGGGCCCTGAACTCTGGGCCTGGGCGCCGTCCCTCAGCTCTTCAGCTCAAGGCTAGCGCTCTACCACTTGAGCCACAGCACCACTTCCAGTTTTTTTCTTCTTTGCTTATGTGGTGCTGAGGAATCGAACCCAGGGCCTCATGCATACAAGGCAAGCGCTCTACCACTGAGCCACCTTCCCAACCCCTCTCTAGGATTCTTGAACTGGTAATTTCCTCAATCTTTGAGTCACTTGATGCCAAACTTTGAATCTACAATTTGACTCCAAATCAAGATCCTGCAAATATTCATAAAGTACTAACATGCTTTCTTTCATTTTAAGGGTTTCCTATACTGACATTTGGAAATTATTAGTTGCAAAAGAGGGCATATATAAGTACAAATTGCTACTCTTGCCTAGAAGAGCAACATGTAAAAGCTACAATAAAATAAAGATTAGCAAGCATCTAGCTTTTGCATCTTCATTTGAAGGAAGCTAAAGGTGAAGGTTCATGTGTACCTTTCCTTAATTACCTTTAGTCGTACAAGGTAATGATCTTTTCCTTTTACAAGATCCAACACAGACTGGTTCTCGAAGACATCTAAAGGACCTAACTAGATATGAGGTCTAGGGAAATTGGTTTCAGGCAAAAATTGACATAGCTTACAAAGTCTTGAGCGCTGATTTCATATCATATATGGCTTATGTTAGTTTTAAAGCAGACTCCCAAGTTCTTTGACATTTCTCCCATATAAAAGGATCATCTAAATCATTTTTCTTTGAGTATATGCCAGCTTTCTGGAGTTGTTTCTAAGGAACAGAATGTGTCATATGACAGGACTCACTCTGAGTGAAGGCAATGCAGCAACTATTATCTGCCAATGTTCAGCCATGTATAAGCATTCTAGCCAAAGCTCCAGTGGTTCCAGCTGACAGCCACCTTCAACTACCAAATGTAGAAGTGAACCTTTGAGCTGCCCCAGCTGATGCTAAATGCAGCAGAGACCACCTTTCTCAGCCTAATTTGCAAGTTTGAAAGCAAAATAAGTACTGGGTTAAGTATCTGAGTTTTGGGGTGGCTTGTTACACAGCAAGAGAAAACCAGATCAGAAGTTTTAGGGGTGGTAGTACAGGAGATTTAAAGGTAGGCCCTTGTAAATACTGAACACATGCTCTATGATTCAGCAAAATCCATAGTGCCCAAAATTTTTAGTGTTTTTTGTTATTCCTTCTACAAACCTGAAAAGTAGATTCTGGTATCCCTTTCTGACAAATGAGGTGATGTCTGGAATGATGAAATACCTGGGTCAGATTTCAGACTAAGTAGCAGAGCCAGGACTTACTAGCTTCAAAAGCAGCCCTCTGTGGGCTAAGTACTTGGCTGAGTAGTATAGCCTTGACCTAGTATGCTTAAGGCCCAAGGTTCAATCCCTAGCACCACAGACAAAACAACACATATTTTCTCCTAAACTGTATAATGGCAAGGAGATTTGAGCTATTCCTCTCAATCTTTGGGAAGAGCTCAAAATTCTAAAGAAAGCTTGTTTGTGTGTGTGTGTGTGTGTGTGTGCAGTGCCTAGGATCAAACCTAGAGCTTCCAGACTCCTAGGCAAGGTGCTTTACTATAAAGTTCCATACCTAACCCAGGAAACTTGTTTTTTTTTTGTCGGTCGTGGGGCTTGAACTCTGGGCCTGGGCGCTGTCCCTCAGCTCTTCAGCTCAAGGCGAGCGCTCTACCACTTGAGCTACAGCGTCACTTCCAGTTTTCTGGCTGGTTTATTGGAGATAGGAGTCTCATGGTCTCTCCTGCCCAGGCTGGCTTTGAACCGCGATCCTCAGATCTCAGCCTCCTGAGTAGCTAGGATTACAGGCGAGAGCCACCAGCGCCCGGCTCAGGAAACTTGTTTTTAAAATAACAACTATTTGCTTTCATCACCTACAAGGTCTCTCAAAATAGTCTTTAAATATTCCTCCCCCCCCCCCAAAGAAACTGACAACTGTGTTTATATAAGGCTTTTTTGGCCAGTCCTGGAGCTTGAACTCTGGGTCTGGGTGCTAGTCCCTAAGTTCTACTCCTTTTGCTCAAGGCTAGCACTCTACCACCTAAACCACAGCACCACTTCTGGTTTTTCTGTGTATGTGGTACGGAGGAATCGAACCCAGGGCTTCATGCATGCTAGGTTTGGTCATGGTGCTTGAACTCTGGGCCTGGGCGCTGACCTTCAGCTCTCCAACTCAAGGTGAGTACACGACCCTCACTTGAGCCACAGGGCCACTTCCGTTTTTCTGGTAGTTTATTGGAGATAAAGACTTTCCTGCCGTAGCTGCTTTGAACCATGATCCTCCTATCTCAGCCTCCGGAGTAACTAGGATTACAGAAGTGAGCCACCGGCGCTCGGCTTCTGAGTAGATCTTTTTAAAGACAACATTTCAATGGATTCTCTTTATACAATGTAGCCATCCAATCTCAAAGTCTTGACTACGAGCATTACCAAGGACTGATTTCGTTGTTGTTTAACCTCCCCTCGCCCCAGTCATTCCACAGCTGTTTTGGAGAGACCCCCTGTGTGCTACAGGAGATGTTCACGTGCAACCCACTGCAATTCTCCAGTTGGTTTGTTTTTTGTAACCCTCCCCTCCCCTCCCTCCTTCGCCGGCTTGTCTCAGCACGCAGGGTAAACGCTCGACAGTCGCCATCTCATTTCACCCCCCAAAAAATTTGTACTTCCCCTTCCAGTGCATGCCAGGGTAAAGATTCAGACTATGTGAGGGAGAAAAGGCGCTTTAATGGATCTGCCGGTCGCCTTTATCTGCGCAAAGCGTATCCTTTATTAATGCACGAACCTCTGCAGGTAATGTTTATTAATGCACCAACCTCTACTAATCTACTCACAAGAACCTACAGGCCTTTCCAGAAAGAATAGCGAAGATCAGATCATACCACTAATTAAGACTAAACACAGCTGAATTCCTCTAACTCCGATCCCCACAGGGAAGCCCGGACAGTGGCCGGGCCTCTAGGGCGCAAAGACAAGACTCAACGGGGCCGCGGCCTCCCGGGCACCCCCGCGTGGCGCGGAGCTCGGGGCCCAGGCGCTGCACAGCTCCGCCCCCTTCATTGTGCGTGGGAACGCGAGCGCCTCCGAGTGGCTGTCTATGGCGATCGCCTGTGCGCCGGGGCTCGGGCTTCCGACGTCCCCACGGCTACCTCCTCCCCGCAGCCACCTTGTCCCTCCCGCCTCTGCCTCTCCACCGCCGAGTCCGCCCACAAGGAGGCCGCGATGTTTTTCTCTTCCGCCCGGCATCGCCGCAGCCACCCCACACCCGGGCGCGCGGAGGCAAAGGCCGCGCTGCGCCCCGGTGCGTGCTGGGAGTTATTAAGGGGGAGGGGCAGGAGAGGCGGGGTCGAGGGCCGGGCTGTGGTTACGGCGGCTGAAGAGAGACAGTTCAAGCGGGTGTGTGTGTGTGCGTGTGCGTGTGCGCGCGCGCGTGTGTGTGGGGTGGGAGGGGGGGGGGCTGCCCCGAGAGCGAAGGCCGCCGGGAGCAGCGCTGAGACCCGCGCGGGCAGCGGGGAGGGGAACGGCGGCCGAGACGCAGGGCCGCCCAGCGGCAGGAGCACCGAGTAAGGCTCCCAGGCGGCTGGGTCCGGGGCGCTGGACCTAGAAGGGGGCAAGGGGTGGAGGAGCAGGAGCCCGAGTGCGTCGCTCCGGGGTCGCGTGCGAGAGCTCGGGAACCGGGGCGCGCGCGGGGGGTGGGCCAGGGCGCGAGGCTCACGGGGCGGGCGGCGGGCAGGCTGGCGGGGCCTAAGCCGCCGAGACAGACGGGCGGCGGGCCTGCGCCAGCTCCAGCTCGAAGCACTCGAGCTGGGCGATCCGGCCTTGGTGCTCCCTCCGGCCCGCCTCCCTTCCGTGAGTACGGTCCCCGCCCTTCCTCCAAAGGAGGCCGCTCATCCAAGGCCTGCGCGAGGGGCCGGGGGTTGGTCTGGGGAAGCTGACTTTCGGAGCTGGAGCCACTGCTTACCCTTTCCTTGCCACAGACAGCCCTGACACGGCCACAGGTGTAAGCCGGCTGGGCTCCGGGAGCTCGGGTCCCGTCCTCAGCTCCAGATCGTCGGCTAACAAGGGGCAGCTGGAGCCTTCCATTGACAAATGACAGGCACTTTACTACGACAACCCGGCTTCCCGGATCCGCAGCTCTTCCCAGTCCTCTTACTTGTCCACACTGTTGGGGAAACTATCTCTGTCGCTATCTGATCGGCAACCATAGGTCTCAGCGTCTGTTTTGGCTGCTCTTTGTATTAAAGTTGGCTAAAAGGTTGGGTTCCTTCCACTTCTGCTTTCCCTCCCCTGTGGATGGTTAGTACATTTTACTAGGAGAGATTACCAAGTCTCAGTGATTATGTCTGCAGTTTGATTCTGGTTCAGATGGGATGGAGGGTGGTTAGTTTGTTTCAAATTAAAAACAAAAAAATTTATTTCTTAAAGCAATCAAGACCCATGAAAACTTCCTGTTTTCTGTAATAATTTTGTATTGATTTATCTTCCAGGTGCAAAAAAAATTGTAGACTAAGAAGCCATGGATAGGAGAAGTGTGAGTGTCAGTGAAACAGAAAATGGAGATGCTTTCCTTGACCTGAAGAAGCTGCCGACCTCCAGATCCCCCCATCGCTATACAAAAGTAGGTTTTGTTACTAATGAATTAATGTTTCTTTATCGACTGGGAGTTAGTAACATTGTGTTGGTCTGACTCAAAATATAGATTAGTAATACCATGCACTGAACCATTTTCTGAGTGTGTAAATACCAAGAGTTTGCTGCTTAGCAGCTTTTAGGTTGAGTACTGTCCCATACCCTGTATAGATTTGTGGATCAATGTATATTAGTACCCAGGTTCTGAAACAGCTGTGGAATTAGGGTGCTATTGACTTAACGTGCTATATGTAGGGTGAGGTGAGAAGTCAAGCTGTGGGATGCTTCAGAATCCCTGTTCTCTCTATTCATGTTTCTATAGGAGTAATCTGGCTGGGATAACTGGATTTTTTTAATTTTGGTGTTTTTCTTCCTTATAAATTGGGCATAGACTCACTCTCAAGTGATTCAATCATAGTTGCTTTTTTTTTTTTTTCTTTTCTTTTTGTCAGTCGTGGGGCCTGGGTGCTGTTGCTCAGCTCTTCAGCTCTAAGGCTAGCACTCTACCACTTGAGCCACAGTGCCACTTCTGGTTTTCTGAGTCGTTTATTGGAGATGAGTCCCATGGACTTTCACGCCCAGGCTGGCTCTGAACCATGATCCTCAGATCTCAGCCTCCTGAGTAGCTAGGGTTACAGGAATGAGCCACTGATGCCTGGCTTTTTTTTTTGTTCGTGGAACTTAAACTCAGGGCTTGGGTGCTATCCCTGAACTTTTTTGCTCAAAAGAAGCCCTCTACCACTTTGAAGCACAGCCCCACTTTTAGTTTTTTGATGGTTACTTGGAGATAAGAGTCTCAGGGACTTTTTTTTTTTTTGCCAGTCTTGAGGCTTGAATTCAGAGACTGGCACTTAGCTGAGTCCCTGGACTGCTTTTTGCTCATGGCCAGCACTCTTATCACTTGAGCCACAGTACCACTTCAGGCTTTTTCTGAGGAGTGGAACCCAGGGCTTCATGCGTGCTAGGCAAGCACTTTACCACTAAGTCACATTCCTAGCCGACTCACAGACTTTATTGCCAGGCTGGTTTGGAACCTAGATCCTCAGATCCCAGCTTGCGTAGCTAGGATTATAGACATGAGCCACTGGCACCTGGCTTTCATCGTTCCTTAACTAAAGAACTTAGAGTGAACTGGGTGCCAGTGCCTCATGCCTGCAATCCTAGCTACTCAGAAGGCTGAGATCTGAGGATCACAGTTCAAAACCAGGCCAGGAAGGAAACTGTGAGATTCTAATCTCCAATAAACCACCAGAATACCAGAAGTGGTGCTGTGGCTCAAGCAGTAGAGCGCTCACCTTGAGCTGAACAGCACAGGGACAACATCCAGGCCCAGAGTTCAAGCCCCACCCACAAAAACAAAACAAAAAAATTTACAATGATTTTTATTTTTTTTTTGTGGGTCGTGGGGCTTGAACTCTGCGCCTGGACGCTGTCCCTGTGCTATTCAGCTCAAGGTGAGCGCTCCACTACTTGAGCCACAGTACCACTTCTGGTATTCTGGTGGTTTATTGGAGATTAAAGTCTCACAGAGTTTCCTGCCGGGGCTGGCTTTGAACTGTGATCCTCAGATCTCAGCCTCCTGAGTAGCTAGGATTACAGGTGTGAGCCACTGGCACCTGGCTTAGAGTGATTTTTATACTGATCAGCTTGATACCTGCTATGGATGGGAGTGGCTGAGGAATCACTTCCAAGTCATATATTTATGAATTTTAGTGCATCAATGTCTGGTTGGCTACTGAATGCTTTTGTTGTTGTTTTACCAATCATGGGGCTTGAACTCAGGGCCTGGTCACTGTCCCTGAACTTCTTTTGCTCAAGGCTAATGCTCTACCACTTGAGCCACTGAACCACTTCTGGCTTTTTCTGTGGTACTGAGGAATCAAACTGAGGGCTTCATGCATGTAAGGTAAGCACTCTATCATTGAGCCACATTCCCAACCCTACTGAATGTTTTTGAACAGGTAAACAGGACTCACCTATAAATTCATTTCTAGCTTAGAGTGCAAAAGAAAAGTATGTATTTGCCAGGTACCAGTAGCTCATATCTATAATGCTAGGTACTCGGGAGGCTGAGAATCACAATTCCAAGCCAGCCCAGGCAGACAAATCCATGAGACATTTATTTCCAATTAACCAGCAAAAATGAGAACTTGGAGGTATAGCTCAAAGAGTTTAGCACCAGCCAAGAGGGTGAGTCCCTGAGTTCAAGCCCCAGTATTAGAACCAGTGAAAAAAGTATATGCTTAAGTACAAAGCAGTTGGGACTTTTGATGCAAGAGCTTACAGTCTGGTTAGGCCTTTGTCTGTATTCCTTAATGTCCCCCTTGACATGGCTTCCCAGGATGTTGAGTAAAGCTGAGCTCTAATCAGTGTGTACTACACTTTTACCTACTTGATAAAAGTGATAGATGCTGTCAGATACTTATTTTCAACATTTAAAACAAAACCTAAGCTGGGCACCGGTGGCTTATGCCTATAATCCTAGCTGCTCAGGAGGCTGAGATCTGAGGATTGCAGTTCAAATCAGCCCAGGGAAAAAAGTCCCTGGGAGACTCTTACCTCCAATTAACCACTCAAAAATCAGAAGTGTAGCTGTGGCTCAAAGTGGTAGAGTGCTAGCCTTGAACAACAGAGCTAGGGACAGTGCCCAGGCCCTGAGTTTAAGCTCCATGACCCCCCCCCCCCCCAAAAAAAAAAAAACCCCACAACTAAAACAACAAAAAGCTTGGAGAGGAGGTTTTCAGGTTCTTGATTGATGTGTGTCTTAGTATAGTCTGTTTTGGCATAACAGATTGAATTGATAGCTTTTTAGATCTGTTTTCAGATTTAGTCTTAGCAAATAGGTATGCTCTCAAATCCATGAGTGCTGAATGGAGTATGCTTCACATCTCAAGTCATTACCTAAAAATGTTGAAAGGCAAATTCTTTTTTTTTTTTTTTTTTTCCGGTCGGTCGTGGGGCTTGAACTCTGGGCCTGGGAGCTGTCCTTCAGCTCAAGGGAAGCACTCTACCACTTGAGCTACAGCACCACTTCCAGTTTTCTGGTGGTTTAGTGGAGATAAGAGTTTCACGGACTTTCCTTCTCCTGGCTGGCTTTGACCAGCGATCCTCAGATCTCAGCCTCTTGAGTAGCTAGGATTATAGGCATGAGCCACTGGCGCCTGGCGGCAAATTCTTATTTAATGGAAAAAAAAAAATGGATTTTTTTTTTTTTGGTCAGTCCTGGGGTTTGAACTCAGGGTTTGGGCACTGTCCCTGAGCTCTGTTTTGCTCTACCACTTGAACCACAGCTCCACTTCCATCTCTTTCTGGTGGTTGATTGGAGATAAGTGTCTCATGACCTTTGCTTTAGTTATCTATTCATTTGACTAAAAGATGGTATACAAAGGTATAACTCCTCTGAACAACTAATGTACTGTTTATCAAAATGAATACCAGGAAGTGGAAACATGTTTTGGTGAGGAGGGCAAAAATGGGAGACACAAATGGAGGGATGAAGCATGAGCAAATGTAGTCACTCAATGTACACTAAGTAAAAATTGAATTGTGTAACTTGAGGGTAGGGATGGGGGGAAATAGTGGAGAACGATAGAAGAGGTAACATTGATCAAAAAACATTGTACTCATAACCTGACATAAGAAATTATAACCTCTGGGCTGGGAAGGTGGCTCAGTGGTAGAGTGCTTGCCTTGCATGCATGAGGCCCTGGGTTCGATTCCTCAGCACCACATAAGCAAAAAGAAAAAAAGCCGGAAGTGGCGTTGTGGCTCAAGTGGTAGAGCGCTAGCCTTGAGCTGAAGAGCTGAGGGATAGCGCCCAGGCCCAGAGTTCAGGCCCCACGACCGGACCCAAAAATAAAAAAAAAAAAAAGAAATTATAACCTCTTTGTACAGTTTTATAATAGTAAATTAATATATGTATATATCCACATATATGTGTATATATTTTTTATGTCAGTCATAGGGCTTGAACTCTGGGCCTGGCGCTGTCCCTGAGCTCTTCAGTTCAAGGCTAGTGCTCTACCACTTGAGCCACAGCACCACTTCTGGTTTTCTGAGTGGTTTATTGGAGATGAGTCTCACAAACTTTCCTGCCTAGGCTGGCTTTGAACTGTGATCTCAGTCTCCTGAGTAGCTAGGATTATAGTTGTGAGTCACTGGCATCTGGCTGTAAATTAATTATTATTATTATTATTATTTTTTAGCCAGTCCTGGGGCTTAAACTCAGGGCCCTTAGCACTGTCCCTGAGCTTCTTTTTTTTTTTTTTGGGAGTCCGGTCATGGGGCCTGAACTCTGGGCCTGGGCGCAGTCCCTCAGCTCTTCAGCTCAAGGCTAGCACTCTACTACTTGAGCCACACCGCCACTTCCGACTTTTTTTCTTTTTGCTTATGTGGTGCTGAGGAATTGAACCCAGGGCCTCATACATGCAAGGCAAGTGCTCTACCACTGAGCCACCTTCCCAGCCCTTCCCTGAGCTGCTTTTGCTCAAGGCTAGAACTCTGCCACTTTAGCCATAGTGCCACATCTGGCTTTTTCCATTTATATTGTACTGAATAATTGAACCCAGGGCTTTGTGCATGCAGGGCAAGCCCTCTATCACTAAGCCACATTCTCTCAGCCCGTAAATTAATATTATTTATTTATGTATTTATTTTTGGTCAGTTGTAGGGCATGAACTCGATCTAAGTGCTGTCCCTGAGCTCTTCAGCTCAAGGCTAGCACTCTACCACTTGAGCCACAGCACATTTCTGGCTTTTTTTGCTTATGTGGTACTGAGGAATCGGACCCAGGGCCTCATGCATGCGAGGTAGGTACTCTACCATTGAGCCACCTTCCCAGCCCAGTTAATATTTTTAAAAAGCTTAAAATTAGCCCAGATATGGGAGGATCCTGAGTTCAGGGTCAGCCTAAGCAGCTTTGGAGACATTGTACCAAAAAAAAAAAAAAAGCTTAATATTGTCCGTTTTAGGCAAAGTATTGCTATATTG